GTAGCCAATGTAGCTACTTTTGCTACTGGGATAATCCAGCACTGCCCGGGTCTGAAGGTGTACAGGACGATCTTTGTTTGTCCCTGAGAGGTGCCAGACATTGGCACCTGGCACGGCGGAGCTGTTTGGGCTGGCGCCTCCTCTCACGGCGCACAGTCCGCTCGCTCGCTCCCTGCTGCTGCTGCTGCTGCCTGTCGCTATCGGCCACAAAACCAAAAACCCACCACCGCGTTACAGTAATTGCATTGATTCTTCCTCCGCGGAACGGTATTGACGTGGTATCGCTTTGCAGCAAGGCAGCTCCATTTTAAAATTAACTCCAGCGTGTGCTTCGGATTACATTCGCTTTGCCTTTCGCTTTGGTGCTAATTATAAAAATGCCTTCAATTTCCCCCCACAACCACCACCCCCCCTCGCTGCCCCTCCGCCCGCCCGCTCGCCCGTCCTGTGTGAGCGAGCGAGTGTGGGTTTACAACACAAACACCGGCATCTCATAAATAAACCTTCAAAATGGCATGAATGTGAGGATTGTTTGTTCAACAAATATTTATAGTTTCGCCTATGCTCTTTTTTTTATGAATTTTCTTCACCAGTTCCCACCGCATGTAGCTTTCATGCTCATGTGTCGATAATTACAAAGAAATTAAATTGTACAGCCCCTGCTCAATCCACTGCTGGATGAAGGCCTCCTCTCACTGTGTTGGTCATGGGGACTGTTGGACCATACTTCACCACGCAGGTTCATGAAGAGAGGTGGCCAGGGTGGGGTTCAGATAGCACTCCCCGCTGATGTTAGCCAAGGACAGAAATTTGACTCAAATCACCGAGTTCACAGTGCAATGTGAAAACCACGGTGCTCCATCTATGTAAAAAAAATTGGTGTAAATATTATGTAATAAACTCATGTGCTGTTGTGGACAATTTTGGCTAATCAAATGAAAAACCTCAGTTCCATGGTTCCACGTGACAATAACACACCTTGGCCGTGACCTTCCAGTCTGATATTAGCCAGCAGCATTGGTTTTGACATATTGGCTCTCATCAGCAGAGTCAGGCTTGCTTTACAAAATAAATCCGGATTCGTCAAATGTCATTGTTAAGATCTATCCATGATAATTGGTTTTTTACCCTTCTATCTGGCAACAAAACTGACACATTTTTTTTTATGAGTCATGTTTGCATAGACCACAATACCTGCAGTCATAATGCAAACAAAAAACATAACTCTGATAATGTATGCACTGTCCTTGAAGTTGATTGGTCCACACCCGAGACAGCTTTCCTTAGAGCCTAGTCTCACATGGGTTGGACCAGATGACGCCAAAAGGCACACAACTCAAAGACAATGCACCATCAGAGTATGAGAGCTCGGGGTAAGCATTTACACCATTGGAACCTCATTTGCCAGTAAAAAATATGGTAATTGTTTTTTTACCCTTCTATCTGGCAACAAAACTGACACCTTGACTCTTTGTAAAAAAAGGTGTCAGTTTTGTTGCCAGATAGAAGGGTAAAAAAACAATTATCATATTTTTTACTGGCAAATGAGGTTCCAAAGATCTATCCATGTTAAGCTATGGGGGGGGGCCATCGTCTGTGGCTGGAATTGAACCTTCACTTCTCAGCCAGCAGGCTCAGTGGTCACAGCACTGAACTGTCAAGTGACCGCTGAGCTGGCCCTACCGACGTCCTGGGTTTGAGTCCAGGTCCCAGCCACCTGTAATTAAACCGGGTTCTCAACTGGGGCCTCAGCACATTCACCAATGCCAATGCATATGAAGTCATTGCAATTAAATGTATTTATAATTTTCTTCTTTAAACATTCTAATCATTTAATTAAATATCTTACGTAATATGGCCACATTTAATTTCTTGCGAAATTAAATTTGCGTACATTTTTGAGTGGGGTGGTAAATAAATAAATACATATTCTTAGGTTATTTCAGTAAAGTCACGTAGGTAAAAAATTAAAATTAAAATTATTTTTATTTTACTTTTATTAATTTCAATTTTAATTTTTTACCTACGTGACTTTACCGAAAAAAACTAAGAATATGAATCCTTGCAGTCACGAAAGCTTCAAATCTAGAAATAAATACATGTGTATGCATGTTGCAGTTCTTTTGCACCGTGCTTAGCCAACCGTGCTAATCGGAGGTGCGTGGGAAGAACACCAAACCAAATGAATATACATAAAACTTACTACTGTGGATGCACATTTATTGTCAACACTCGTGGCCATCATTATTAGGAAAGCATAGACGTGCACCTGCTGTTAAATGGACTGAAGTTCTCGTTTAACAATGCTCGCCCAGTATGCGGTAATGCTGCACGCCGAAGAGACCGCCGGTTTCCACCCAAATGTTTCCCCACTCCCAGCTGCTTTCGTTGTTTTTTTATTCTTTTTTCTGAGCACAAGAAAGCGATTGTTAAAAAGTCCACCGCTGATTGCAGCGTGACATCCCCCTGCACTGGCTGCTGTCACGAAAACACGAACCGTATTCTCGGTATATATGACGCACTTCATCTACAATTATTTTAAAGAGGTACTCTGGGGATGCGCCTTATTATAATCCGGTGTGTAGGCCATAAACCTGGCAACTGGACGTGCGAGTTACGATTGCGCTCGGCGTCCAAACTACTCCCCACTCAGTCCATGTGCCACTCAGTCTGCCTACCACTCAGTCCATGTGTCACTCAGTCTGCCTACCACTCAGGCCATGGGCTACTCAGTCCATGTGTCACTCAGTCTGCCTACCACTGAGGCCATGGGCTACTCAGTCCATGTGTCACTCAGTCTGCCTACCAATCAGTCCATGGACTACTCAGTCCATGTGTCACTCAGTCTGCCTACCACTGAGGCCATGGGCTACTCAGTCCATGTGTCACTCAGTCTGCCTACCACTCAGTCCATGTGCCACTCGGTCCATGTGTCACTCAGTCTGACTACCACTCAGGCCACGTGCTGCTCAGTCTGCATACCAATCAGACTATGTGCCACTCGCAAAACATATAGTAGCAAACAATTGCAGAGAATGAATTTTAGGAGGGCTGTACACAAACTCAACACAGATGCGTTATTTAGTTACACGTGGTGACACACACGGCACGGAGTTCATCTCATATGCGTTGCGAGCGGCGTTGCAGCGACGTTGAGACGAGCGGCCGGCACTGCGCTGCCGCGGTGCCGGTCGCTCCGCTCCGTACCAGGCACGGTGCTCCTCCTCGCCGTCCGTGTGACGCTACCGCACGGTCACAGCCCTCTCGATCTTCTTGTTGTTGTTTTTCTAAATGGTGCAAAAGTTGGGAAGGCGCGTTTTACTTTCCCGGGTGGCTTTTGAGCTATAAAATAAGATACAATAGAGCAGTAAAAATCTTGACCTAAAGCTTTCGTGACTGCATGAATTCATGTTCTTTGGGTCTTTCGGTAAAGTCACGTAGAAAGGTTCAAATTAATAAAAATGAAATAAACAAAAACCACAATCGTCATCAGGAGGTTGACGATCGCTTGGATGACGATCGCTTGTGTTGTGATCGAAACGTCGTGTTTTTTGTTTATTTAATTATTTTATTCATTTGAACCTATCTACGTGACTTTTCCGAAAGACCCAAAGAATACAATAGAGCAGTGTTCATGGGGAAGTTGGCGGGGGTCGGAGGGGGAGCGGAGGCAGAGTGGTTCCCGCGCCGCACTATGGACTCGGTGACCTGAGTTCGATTTCCATCCGCGGCGAACATTTGCGGTGACCGGTATCTGAACCGGCCCCGTGCCTCCTAATCCTCACTAGCCCGCACTGACCAGCATGGGGAAGCAGCGCGGGGAAGTATGATCAAACAACCTCCCACGGTTTGACAGAGTGCGGGGAGGCCTTCATCTCACAGTTGATTTACAAAAAGGGCTGTACGGTAAATTATTATTATTTCGTTCGTACAAAAAATTCAATTGTCGTAAATAGTAAGTGGCAGTTATCTGAGCAAAAATTACTTGCGTCGTAAATATAATGCGTAATACCCATTAGTCGAAAAATCTTTTGCTTCATAGTTGTATGCGTCTATATTTTTGCTACGGATAATTTGTTTGATGGTACGCCAATAGTTGTCCACAACAGAACAAGGCGACATTTCATACGTAGGCTTTCGCAACCAATATTACGATTGATAATTATTAGTTTCCTTTGGTTTAGACCGTCCTGTAGGTACGATGTCAATTTTGTTGAAAAGCAAAGCGAAATGTTGGCCTGTTTTGTACGACGTTTCGCTGGAGATTGCATCAAGCATCATGAGGAGTTAACGAAACAAAACGTATTGCGAGTTGGAACACAGATACTGCACGTCTAGAGCAGGAGGTGGGAAACCTGCTGCTCCACAGCCGCATGCGACCCTTTAAGTGACTGTTTCGTGACCGTTATCTAGTAAAGACTCGTATTCACATGCCATGCGGCTCTTGAAATATTGAGGTTTTAATTTTTACAGAATTCGATAAAAATGGCCCTTCTTGTTGTTGTTCTGCTTGCCAGCCCCAGGTCTCGATACGTCTACTGGATACAGACTCGCGTGGACCAAAACATAGACTTCTCTGTCCGAGTGATGCTTGCTGGCGGCGATGTTAATTTTGCGAAACAAAAAAAATTGTTGACGAAAAATATTCATCAACAAAGTGTTCGTGATTGCACTTAGTCGACGTTGAACGTGAATGAACGGAACGGAATCATCAAGCGCGACGGTGACAATTACCGCGATGCGCCAAGCCAGACATGATGGGTGTTCGCTAACTTGCACATGCCCTAACGGCCTGAAAGAGGCCGCACCTGGGGAACTTTGTCTTTGTATTTTCGTAGCTGCTCCGCAACATTACTTCCCCAACAGCCTGTTAAAGGCTACACGGGGTGGCTCTTTGTCTGTGCGTGTATATCAATAAACGTACTCGTATATATAAATATATAAATTACTAATACGGACACTGCTCTTTCCCCGCTTGCATTTCTCCCGCACCGCCAAAGGCAAATGACAACGAGTCGGCAAAGCCAGCGCCACTCCGGACCGAGCCCAGCGCCCCCGGGGGCACCCGGCGCCCGCGCGATCCTCCCGGCAGGCCAGTGAATGATGGCGATGCCGCCGATGCGGCCGGCGCCCCCTCCCCGCCGTCGAGCCGCACCACCGAGGTCCCGTCCTCCTCTGCGCGGCTCCGCGCTGCGACTGCCGCCGCTCGTGCTGGTGGCGGCGGCGGTGGCGGCCTCGTTGCTGTGCGGCGAGGGCCTCGCGGCCTCGGCCACCGGCAGCAACCGGGGCGGCCGCGAGCGGCTCCTGCCGGACCCGGCCTCCTTGTCCGGCGGCCGTCCCCCGCGCGACCAAAAGCGGCCGAACATCATCCTCATCCTCACCGACGACCAGGACGTCGAGCTGGGTAAATCGAGCCCTCGCTCCCCCCCCCCCCCGCGTCCGAGCGTCCCCTCGACCACCCACCCGAGGTGCTCGCGTGAGGCTGTGGTGGAAATGTCACATTCCTTGTGGCAGCGTTGTTGATGCGTCGCTATCGTCTGCAGCAGCAGCAGCAGTAGCCATGGGTAGTCCACTGCTGCATGAAAGCTTCCCTGAGATGTTGTCACCTCTCACAGTTCTGTGATGTAACAATCCGTCTAACGCCTGCTACCGAGCTGATTTCATCGCTCCCATCTCAGCGGTGGATGTCTTCTTAGGGCATGTCTTTCCCCCACCTAGGGCATGTCTCTTTAACCCCTTTGACTGCCACTCCATCATTAGTCTCGACTACTGGACCTCATCGCACTGTCTAGCGACATGTCCCTCTATACACAACAGATAATGTGATGTCTCTAGTGTTGGAGGGATCTTATTAAGTATGGTTAGTAATTGAATGAGAGACTGCCAGGAGATGCCAGGTGTTGTAAGCTTGGGCTGTGAAGTGGCCAGGAGATGCTGGTCCAGATGATGTACTTATGAGTGGAGCTCTTGAGCGTTAACCCCATTATATGTATGATGGGTTTCCATTAAGTTTCCTTCCAAATTACAATCACTCTCTCTTACAGAATTTTCCAAGCATTCAAATGCAAAATTGAGGCTTTTCCTTGGTAAATGAACATCATCATCAAGTAATTAATTTCCTATCTACTTCTAGACAAAGGCCATCTCACCCTGTCCCCAATACCTCACGACTCTCGCAGTGCCGACGATCGTTCTTAGATTTGGCTGTGCATATATTGCAAGTTCGATTCGTGGATTCGGCAAAGCGCGGCACGAGTTTTGCGAGGTGCTGGCGGGTCAGTGGGAGGTGGGTGGCGGGGTTGGGGGGGGGTGTACCCTGGCAGTCGCCTACACAGCTGCTCGCATTTGCTAGGTTTCGCAATCATGAGCTAATCGAGCCGGGTTAGTGTTGTTGAAGGTTGTCCGCGGCAAAAAGGCACTCAAAATATTCTGGGAAATGGGAGTCACTCGACAAGTGGTGGAGAGAACAAATTATCTGTAAATTCCGGGTTTTTGTGGAGCATGCATGTGTGTAAGGCAACACTGTACGAATTTCCCGTTCCACGGGGCGGGTTTCGGATTTAAACAATTTGCATTTACCATTTTCAGATTTTTTTGAGTTTTTTCAAGGATTGCTTTGGATATTTTATTGGATGTTCGCGACGTTTGCATCGCGCGCTCGTGCAGCGACGTCACACGATGTCACGTGATGCCGCTTTCGCGGCTACCCGGTTCCCCCGGGGGCCCAGGGCTCGGTCCAGAGTGGCGCCGTAGGAGTGAACGAAATGGCAGTGCCGCACAAGCACAAACAAAGTCACCGGCGCCTCTAAGTTCAAGCATCGTCACAAGCCTCGGCCTCATGACATTGTCTCTGACATACGGCACTGGAAATTTCAATGTGCTGATTATTATTCTTGATTAATAACACTGCCGTGGCCTTAATATATAGCACGCGGTGTTTCGGGAAATGGCCCTCCTTCACAGCAACATAAATAGAGGGGCCAGAGAGAAAGAAACGAGACTGTGCAATGCGTACACCACGTCAGTAATACGGGTCACTTGTGGCTCTCAGCTAAATTCAATACAAGCCAAAAATTTCTGGATCGTCTGAAATGTCAAATCGAGGCCTTCCCATGGGAAATTAATGACCCAGATAAAATGGCTGGTGGCAATTTCTCACCAAATGTGCTAAACACAAATTTAGACCGGCGCACTTCTCGCCGTGTGAATTTGTTTGGGGACGTGCGGGAATTCCCACACATCGACACGCGCAACCCCCATCTGCTCGGCGACGCGGTTCACCGGTTAATGTTTTTTGTTCTGCCTTCCCACTCTCCGCCATCGTTCGTCTCGTGCCAGGCTCGATGCTGGTGATGAACAAGACGCGGCAGCTGATGGAGCGTGGCGGCGCCCACTTCACCAACGCGTTCGTCACGACGCCCATGTGCTGCCCGTCGCGCTCCTCCATGCTCACGGGGAAATACTCGCACAACCACGACGTGTACACCAACAACGAGAACTGCTCCTCGCCCTCCTGGCAGGCGGCGCACGAGCCCCGCACATTCGCCGTGCACCTGAGCCGCGCCGGCTATCGCACAGGTGAGGCCAGGGTAGAGCTCCCGATACAAACCACCCGAGGCCTGACCCATAGAAGTGAGACAGGGATAGAGCTCGTGTCCTGAGCCTTGGACTAATCCATACAGGTGAGGCAGGGATAGAGCTCGTGCCTTGAGCCTGGGCCTAATACAGGTTAGGCAGGGATGGAGCTCGTGTCCTGAGCCTGGGTGTAACCCATACAGGTGAGACAGGGATAGAGCACGTGTCCTGAGCCTGGGTGTAACCCGTACAGGTGAGACAGGGATACAGCTCGTGCCTTGAGCCTGGGCCTAATACAGGTGAGACAGACCGTAGCCATGGAGTCAACATTTGGGGGGACCAAATCTTCCAGGGGGTCTGGAGGTCCCGCCCCAGAAAAAAATTCTAAATTTGAAAACGAATTTCGTGCCATTTCCTGCCTAGAATATAAAAAAAATCACTAACACATAGGATGGACTTTTTATTTTATTTTTTACAATAATGTCTCATAGTGTATTGTATTACATTGCTCTGTTTTTTTCTTTTTTACCTTTTCTTGTTTCATTGTATGTAATGGCAGAGATTAGAGATCCATAAAGTACAACCATAACCACAATCATATAAACAGAAATCTATTTTATAGGGATATATTGAGGGGACATTTTGAGCATATTTGAATATGGGGGGGGCGGGATGTCTCAATAAATAGTATAATTACGGCCTTGCAGGTGAGACAGGGATAGAAAACCGGCTCTGAGCTTGACTCTAAGTCATACAGCTGAGACTGGGATAGAATACCTTATTTGAATCTGACTCTATCTCTGTCTAAGCCTAGTCCATGCAGGTGAGCATCTGCCCAGACATTGACCCGTACAGGTGAGGCAAGGCCTGCCCAGACACCGTCTCCTAAACCCAATCCCTCGGACATGCTGATGAACCATACCTTTAGCGCCTGAGTCGAAGCGCGCGCAATAACAGCTGAGTGCCTCCCCAACCCTCACTCATATGTCTAGTACTTGTGTGTGTACGTGTGGGTGCTAGTCGCTAGTGACCCGAGTTCGATTCCAGCTCACGGCCAACATCAGTGACGATTATCTGAACTGGTCCTGGGCCTCCCCTGGGTCGACAGCCTCAAATGGGTATCTGGTGTGGTGTGTAAATATCACCACTGGGGAGACAAAGGCGGCCGGGCGTGGTGCTGGCCAACCCACCCCCTTGTGTGCCGTGCCAGCCTTCATAGGTGCTCGCTAACAGCACTTGCCCCTACAGTCTGTTAAGGCTATGCGGGGGATCTTTGTGTTTGTGTGCGCGCGCGTGTGTGCAGGCTTCTTTGGCAAGTACCTGAACGAGTACAACGGGAGCTACGTGCCGCCCGGCTGGCGCGAGTGGCTCGGCCTCGTCAAGAACTCGCGCTTCTACAACTACACGCTGAACCACAACGGTGTTCGCGAGAAGCACGGAGCCCACTACCCCTCGGTGTGTGTGGTCAAGTGTGTGTGTGTGTGTGATCAGGTGTGTGAGTGTGTGTGTGTGTGGTCAAGTGTGTGAGTGAGTGTGTGGTCAAGTGTGTGAGTGTGTGTGTGTGTGGTCAAGTGTGTGTGTGTGTGATCAGGTGTGTGAGTGTGTGGTCAAGTGTGTGAGTGTGTGTGATCAGGTGTGTGAGTGTGTGTGGTCAAGTGTGTGAGTGTGTGTGTGAGTGGTCAAGTGTGTGTGTGAGTGGTCAAGTGTGTGAGTGTGTGTGTGGTCAGGTGTGTGAATGTGTGTGTGAGTGGTCAAGTGCGTGTCCACAGGTGTTGCTTCGGGCCAGATACCTCAGTCAGTCAACTCATGGCACCTGGGTCTGTCTCGTGACCTCCTGCCAACGGGTGTTTGACACTTCACGTGGCCTTAAAGTGCACTTAGCCAGGCACAAGCGCCGTGGTGACTTTACCGCCACTTAATGATGAATGGCGGTTATTGTTGTTGTCCATGCGTGCGTGTGTGGGGGAGCGGTGACGCAGTGGTTAGCGCATCCGGTGACCCGAATGCGATTTTCCTCCCACAACGAACACCAGCGACGATTATCTTCTTTGGCCTGCCCTACATCCACTCGGCCTCAAATGAGATGGTGCGTTGTGTAAACATCGCAGCTAGGCAGACAAAGGCTGACGGGCGTGGTGCAGGCCACCCATCCCTTTGTGTGCCATGCCGGCCTTCATAGGTGCTCACTAACAGCACAGTTTGTAAAGGTTATACGTGGATTTTTGTGTGTCTTGTTTCGTTGAATCTGTATCAGTGTTTGTGCATGTTTGTGTGTGTATCCGCGTGATTGATACGGGTCTAAGACAGATGTCAGGGTGTTGACTTCGCAACCATGAGATCCCTGGTTCAAATTTGGATTTCAGCCACTTGTGATACCTTCAGTTGTCTAGTGCAGTGAGTTGATGCTCTCAGTCCAGCTGCTACTGGTTCTACACATTTGGATATTCACTGATTTCCACATCCTCTAACAGAGGCAGTACACCGCGCACGTGTGCACATGGACGGGTGTTTTAAAATCCAGTTCATTAGCGTGAGAGAATGCTCCCGTTAATGCAGTTGTCACGATTGCAGCCAGATTTTGCTTTGTGCATTACGATACGGCCCATTGCCCCTGCGAACGGCACTCTGGATATTTCTTGCCGTTTGCGACGCCCCCCCCAGGACTACTTGACGGACCTCATCACGAACGAGAGCGTGAGCTTCTTCCGAGCGTCGCGGCGGACGTACCCGGGCCGCCCCGTGCTCATGGTGCTGAGCCACGCGGCCCCGCACGGCCCCGAGGACTCGGCCCCGCAGTACTCGGAACTCTTCCCCAACGCGTCCACGCACATGTACGCACGCCTCCTACACGCGCCACGCGCACGTGACGCACAGGTGCATGCCAAGACACCGGTACCCACCGTTCGCCACTAAGTGGCGGTGACGCGTCACTGTGGAGCCTGTGCCAGGCCAGGTGCACTTTGGAGCCACGTGAAGTGTCGAAGGCTTTGCTGACAAGACGTCACGGGACAGACCCAGGTGCCATGGGTTGGCTGATTCAGATGGCTGGCAGATGCACCACCTGTGCTCCTTATTGTGCCAACCTGATGCATTTTAGCCGCCCAGTGTTCCACTGTTTGTTATGAGCGTCGCTCCTCTGCCGTCCGTTGTTGTTGGAGGGCGACTGCCTCCAACTGACCATTAGTGACCTTTACGAGCAACCTTCATAAAGGCCGATCTTGACGCCGCTGGTATGCGTCTTCGGCAAGTCCACTCAGCTCCACATCGTTCCGTACTGTGTACATATACAGGCACACAAACTCACAGCCTGACAATACAGCAGGAAATTAGAGCCACTGCTACTCAGGCCTCATTCAGAACGCATCCACGCACGTGTACATGCATGACTTCTACATGCAGGAATTCTACATACATGTACGCATGCGTTGTGCGTGCATGACTTATACATGATAGGCATATATATACACAAAGACAAAGATCCCCAGAATAGCTTTAACAGGCTGTAGGAGCAAGTCGTGTTAGCCAGCACCTATAAAGGTCGGCACAGCACATGAGAGGGTGGGTGGCCAGCGTCTCCCTAGTGGCGATGTTTACACACCTCACGAGGTACTCATTTGAGGCCGAGTCAACCTAGGGAAGGCCCAGGACCTGTGCATATATTCGTCACTGTTATTGGTCGTGAGCGGCAATCGAACGTAGGTCACTGGGTTCGTAGCACAGCGCATGAACCACTGAACTACTGATCCCCACACTTAGTCTTTGCAACCACTACTCACACACGTACGCTACACACGTGTAAATACGCAAGTGAGCACCTATGAAACCTGGCGCGACTCAGCAGTGGTTGGTGGGGTGACTGCCAGGCACACCTGACCACCATCATCTCCCCTGCACCGCGGTATTTATTTTCTGGCTGAGTCGACCTAAGGGTGTGGGGGTGGAGGGGCGGGGCGGGGGCGGTGGTAGGCCTGCATGCAAGCGCAGGTGGCGGCTTCGGCTGTGGAGAGCGAGCTACCGGCTAGGCACCGGGCGCCGTGACGCCGCTTCTGTACGTGCGGCGTCGACGAAGGGCGCGCGGGACGAGCCGTTTCAAATATTAAACAAGCGTACAACATCGCGACGGCCCATCACACGCACGGTTGACATCCTCTTTTATGAAGGCGTTTGGCAATTTTCCAAATATTTTCTGTCGTGGGTTTTTTTTTCCAGTCCTGACCCACATTATGTTGAACACCCAAGCCGCCTCCACCCCGCGACGTCCTGTCCCAATTCGCTGCTGGCGGTTCACAGCGGCGAAAAAAAAAAAATCGGCAACCGTGACCCTTTAAGCGCACTCATAAAAGAGGACCTGACCCCTTAAAGCATTGCAGAGAAAGCACCGGCGACCCTTTGCGAAGGGAACAATCGTTCGGGGGGCACAGGGCGGGATGGTACACAATCTCGCAGTATGCCAGTCCTTGAGTAGCGCGTTCCCACACGTGCACACTCACACACACTCACATGCACACACGCACGCACACGTGCGCGTGCACAACGTGCGGAGGTGTGGGATGAGCGGCTTTGGGGTAAAAATAAAAAGGGGGTGGGGGGGGGAGGCTGGTGTATACTTCCTTGTGCTCGCGCACCAGCTGTCACTTCCGATTACGACGAACGAGATGGGCTGCTGCTCGCAAAGATTTCGAGTTAGGGATGCATGGACGGCCTGCGGTGGTCATACTGCTAGTGGCCACCTGTAACCCAGCACCGTTGGAGGCAGCAGCGAGAGCTGGCGTGTCGCAGGAATGCTGTGAAACTCCCGATCTGTCGGCGTCGAGGCAGGTGCTGCGCGATGGTTTGCCAGGAGTACGCGTTACAGGAAAGTGCGGACTAATATCATCCGTTCCTTCTCAGCGGGATAGAGTGTTACTCCCTTGGGTTTTCTCTGGATGCTCTGGTTTGCCCACATCAGTACCCAACTGCCCCCAACCCGGGCAAGCTAACGATGCACCCAGCGGACCGAAGTCTGCGAGCCCCAACTCCACGACGAATCCCGGTCTCGCCACCACACTCATTAATCGGCCGATGACACCTTGATATACAGAGGATCGCAGAGCTTGGGCGATTGCTGTAGCCAGCTCACCACTTTGACTGCCGCCTTCCAACCTGTCTGTGGTTCCTCGTGCCGAGTTGTCCACTCTCTCTCCGAGAGGTGAGCGCAATACTGTGTGCCATGTTACGACAAGTTTGCATTATTCATTTTGATTAATATGGCTTTCCTGCAGGTCCGTGTCATTTTTTTCAACGTTATTGCCTTTGTACGCACGCGTTGTTGTTTTTTTCCTTCATCTGGGTTTTCCGGTTTCCTCCCACACACAGAACCGCGCCTTACAATGGCATTGGCCAAATATCCCAATGCAGGACACTCCAACCAATTAGTTTTTTTTTTAATACTGGTTGAAATATTCCAGGATAAATAAATAACAGCGTCAGTATACAGTTTTGAGCGCTGTAACGCGCTATTTTAATGGTGAATGTCTTTATTGCAGTGTGATCTCTTCAATCAATACTCTGAATCGCTCAGTAGTTGGCATTAAACGCTGCTGAGCCCAACTTCCAAATGACTAAAGTCTTAAGTAATAACAAATACAATCACGGTCCCAAAGTAAGATCTTGATTTTAAGCTTTTGTGACTGCAGGAATCCATACTCTTTGGTTCTTTCGTTAAAGTCACGTAGGCATAAAATAAAATCAATCACGACGTTTCGGGCACAACAAAAGCGTCCGTCATCAGCTTTTCCCACCGGATGATGGACGCTTGTGTTGCGCCCGAAACGTCGTGATTTATTTTATTTTATACCTACGCGACTTTACCGAAAGAACCAAAGAGTAAGATCTTGATGTTACAGCTGACATCTGGAAAAAAGAATGACATCGAGACACCACTGGTATTTGGTCATGCGGCCACCATATCAGCAACAGATGTGTGGGGTTCGTAGCCCAATAACACCACCCTCCCTACAGCTCTCACGCCACTACTAAGCAGTCTTGCAGCAGCAATTCCCATGGCAGTGACACCACCGCACTCGCCCCCAGCTCAATGCACATCCTTCTGCCACCGCTGCGCGTGTCCCCGTGCGCCCACGACCCTGCTCACCCGCCGTGGCCCCCCGTGACCCCACTCTGACCTTTCCGTGACCCCCCCTGTGACCTTTCCGTGACCCCTACCCTTGTGCCCCCCCCCCACCCCCCGCCGTGCAGCACGCCGAGCTACAACCTGGCGCCCAACCCCGACAAGCACTGGATCCTGCGCTACACGGGGCCCATGATGCCCATCCACATGGAGTTCACCAACCTCCTGCAGCGGCGGCGCCTGCAGACGCTCATGTCCGTGGACGACTCCGTGCAGCGCGTGAGCGAGCGAGCGAGCGACCCAGGCGAAGTCGTGCAGGCGCGAGCGCGCGGCGGTCGTGCAACTGAGACCGAGTCGTGCATGTGGCGAGCAGTAGTGTCGCGGTTAGCGCACTTCGCTATTAACCCGCAGGCCCGAGTTCGATTCCTGGTCACGGCCAACGCCAGTGACCATTGTCTGAACCTGTTATGGGCCTCCCTTAGGCCGACTCAGTCTAAAAATTAGTACCTGGTACAATGTGCAAACATCACCACTAAGGAGACAAAGGCGGCCTGGGCATAGTGCTGGCCACCCACCCTCTCGAATGCTGTGCCAGCCTTCATAAGTGCTCGCTAACAGCCCTCAAAAGTCTATAAAGGATATATTGGGGATTTTTGTCTTTGCTAACTGCACTTGCCCCAACAGCTTGTGAAGGCTACACGGGGGGGGGTCTTCTTTGTCTTTGTGCGCGCAGATTCTGGACACGCTGGAGGAGAGCGGCGAGCTGGAGAACACGTTTGTCATCTACACGTCCGACCACGGCTACCACCTGGGCCAGTTCGGCCTCGTCAAGGGCAAGTCCATGCCCTACGAGTTCGACATCCGCGTGCCCTTCTACGTGCGGGGGCCCGGCGTCGCTCCGGGGTCCACGTACGTACACTCCGCTCCGGGTTTCTCTCCATCTCTCTCTCCGACCCGCGCATGCACAACTCGGTCGCCTGCTCACTTGATAAAGATAATGAATTGTTTTTTAATGAGTCGTCCTCCTGTACGTTGGAGGGGGGTGGGTGATGGGGGGGGGGGAGGGTGCATCTCAGAGCGCTTAAAAAAGTATAATTTATTTTATTATGGATATCACACGCAGCGTAATAACCAGGGTGACCCGCCTGACTCGAACCGTGAACCTCTGCAACAAGCGGCGACTGCGCTACCGCAGGGTCGCGTCGCCTGGTGTTCTGCCCTTCGCTTTGGAGGCAGCGTTATTGATGAACGTGTTGAGCTTGTTACGTGTGCACGTGCGTCACTGCCATTGCAGAATTACTTAATCTGGTAATTTGATCGCCTGGTCAACTGACAATTAAATGGCCTGATGACCTGGCCATGAGCTAGCGTAGTTGGACCCTTTACTTTCCCAGCGATAACTTAATAATACTATTTTTCCAGACGTTCCTACATTGGGATGTTTTGGCCAATACCATCAGTGAACGTCTGGCGTGTGGGAGCAAATTAAAGTAACGGTGATATCATACGGCATGCAGGATCGGTTACACTCAAAGCTCCGCACAGATCGATTTGGGAATCCATTGCTTTCCTTCCGTCTCCTAGCCGCACCTCACAGCCTGGCCGTCATTATTTTTCACCCGTTGCCTAATTACCGCCAGTCGCTCTCTCCTCATTTCTTCTTCTCTCCCTCTCCCTCCCCTCCTTCGTGGGCCGGCACGGGCTCAAAGCAACGACCTCCTGGGTTCGATTCCTGCCTCGGGTGCCTTTCTGTGTGGAGTTTGTATGTTCTGCCCCCGCCTCCGCCTGCCCGCCCGCCCCCCGTTCTGGATTGGTTTCCAACGGGTTCTCCAGTCTCCTCCAAGAGTTAAAAATAAAAATAAAGTAACTGATATTTGCCAAACGTCCCCAATGCTACCAAACGACATGAAAATTACTCTAAAACTTGGCAGGATCCGCACCTCTGATTTCCTGCACGTCCCATTAACATGGTGGGCTCCGTACGGTGCGACAAAAGCTCAAAACACATACAGGTCCCTCCTGGAACAGAGCATTGAGGCTCGGAGAGACTTTCCTGGTAGAGAAAACAAGCGTGTTAATACAATTTTCTCTCTCTCTCTCTCCCTTCCCTCTGCTGTTATTTTCGGTCTTAGACCACCGCTCGGGGCTGCTTCGGTCCCACCCGATTACCCCGGCAGTCGCGTCGATCCTGCGGGTCCCGGCTCTGTTTTTACGTTCGCGTTGTTGAAAATATGAATACAAATTTTTTTGTTTTTCTTTCAAAATCGCCGAGCTCACCAGTCACAAGCAATTACTCGCCGCGCAATCGCCTCCAGGAGGGCGCAGGCAGCGGCGGCGCAGGCCACGCGCGCGCTGGGACGCTGCATCACTCCCTCCCTCTCTCTCTGTCTCTCGTACCGCGGGTGACCTTTGCGCCCCGAGTCATTAGCGAGCGGTGGCGGGAAGGCAATGCTCAACGCCGGCCTCCCGATAAATCCGCGTGCAAATCGATGCACGGGAGCCACAAATCTGGTCCGCGCCAGCGACTCCGGTAATGAAATCAGCTGATCGGTCACGCGGGCCGGGCGCTCGTTCTGCACCGGGCCCTGACAAACATCGTTTTCTTCTCTTTGGAACGAGGAAGCGGGGGGGGGGGGGGGTCTGGGTGGGTGGCCCTGGTTTATTTTACACAGATTGAAAAATGTCTCTCTCCATCTTCCCAAGGTTAATCTCGCACACCCAATGCTGTCTCATTTCCAGCATGATATTGATTTTCTTAGATTTTTGGGGGAGGAACAGTTTTTCAATTTTAATATTTTCATCTTTTGGTTTCCTTTGCTTTAATCGATTTTTTTTTGTTTAGAAGTTTTAATGTATATATTCTTAGGTTTTTTGTGGTTAATTTGGATTAATTCATTTTCTATTAATGTTTTTTTTTTCACGTGGAATATTTTTTTATGATTGTATATGCGAATTGGAGCAATTATTTCCCCCCCGGCAATGCCGTTAATTGTTACGATTCTGCTTGGTGACTCAAATGAAATGTTTTACATTTGTTTTATGTTTTACATTTCATTTGAATAACGCCTCCAGTGGCAGCGAGACTCACCATGAACCCATAACGTACAACATATACAAATCTCAAGACGCACGCGGTGCACAAATAACAACAGCAAAACCTCAACGCATCCGTCAATACTTAGACAAGTGCGATTGGCAAATGTGTGGGGTGTTTTTGTCATCAAAAATTAATGAACGGATGCAATGTTAATACATACTCGTGGAACAAAAGACTTTTGTTTTGGCTTCATGATGTCACCCGTGATCATCCGAGATCAAAAAACGCAATCAAATGTGTGACTGAGACGGCAGCAGAGAGGGAGACGATAGAGCGGCTTAATTGCTTCGTTACTCCCCCTCTCCCCTCGTGTGCATGGGGTTTTCTCCGAACTTTCCAGTTTCCTGCCGCACGAGGCCAGACACTCACGAATGGAATGGGCCAAACATCCCAATCCAGGACTCTCCTGCAAAGAGTCTTGAGTTTCAATGAGGCCCTCCTGGCGAAATCATTCGCGTTACTTTTTACGATATGAACACGTTTGAATTCCGATTTAAAGCTTTCGTGACTGCAGGCATTCATCTTCTTGGTTCTTTCGGTAAAGTCGGGGAGACAGACCTGGTCTTCACCTGAGAACGGCTGCTTGCGTTGTGGCCGAAACGTTGTGAGAATTATTTTATTATGTTTTATTTTTATAATTTTATTATTTCCCTTCTACGTGACTTTACCGAAAGAGCCAAGAAGACGTTTGAATTCATAATTTAATCGAACAAAAACATACGCACGTTTATATGGCTGTGCTGGAATGATCAGCACACTGGGACCTGCGTACCAGAGGTCGCCGGCACGATGTCCACCCACAGTGAATCGGCAGGTCGCGTGCGGTGGAGTAGAGCGTGGGTACTCCCAACTGGCGAGCGTGGAAGAGTAGGCCAAAAATAGCATCTACAGGGGCTCACTGGGGCTCCCTCTAATGCCAGCAGTGACGTAAGCGAGCAATTGCATGGCTGCGCCTTGATCTACCTCATTTGTGGGGGAATAGTAACTTTCCGCAGCACAAATGTATTTTCTTCATATCTTGTTATTCAATAATCTTTGTTAATCATAATAAATAATTAACTATTCTAAAGCGCCTTGCACCCGGAGATAACAAGGCACTCTACAAACAAAGACAAACATCCCCCGTATAGCCTTAACAGACTGTTGGGGCAAGTGATGTTAACGAGCACCTATGAAGGCCAGAACGGCACACGAGGGGGTGAGTGGCCAGCACAACGCCCGGCCGCCTTTGTCTCTCAACTAACGAAGTTTACACACCGCACCAGGTACTCATTTGAGGCTGAGTCGACCTAGGGGAGGTCCAGGACTGGTTCAGATAATCGTCACTGGTGTTGCCCGTGAGCGGAAATAAAACTCGGGTAGCCGGGTTCATAGCGCGGCGTGCCAACCACGACACTACCTCTCCCCAAACACACACAAACGCATGCTCACACCACTACAATCCAACCCAAAATCAAAGGTTTCAGGAAATAGAAAAGGCCTTTAGAAAGAAGTTGCGTCTCGAGGCGCGGATTTGAATAAAACGAGGGGGGAGTCGGCAGAGAGAGCGTCCAGTGGCAGTGAAGTCCACAGCCTGGGGCCACACAGATCTTTTTTGAAAACAACACCTTTACAATGTATTTATTTTTCTTTCTCCTGCGACCACCACCACCGCCACCGGAGCGGTAAACTCTTTACTTGAACAACACGTGGTTCCGGTTGCCTCGACCTTTCGCTAAACGATGGCGGTGGCTCGGGAACAAAGTCAGTGGCTAAATGAAGTCGGTGGCTAAACGATGTCAGTGGCTAAACGAAGTCGGTAGCTAAACGAAGTCAGTGGCTAACTTAAGTCGGTGGCTAAACGAAGTCAGTGGCTAAATTAAGTCGGTGGCTAAACGATGATGGTGGCTAAACGAAGTCAGTGGCTAAATTAAGTCGGTGGCTTAATGAAGTCAGTGGCTAAATTAAGTCGGTGGCTAAACGATGATGGTGGCTAAACGAAGTCAGTGGCTAAACGATGGTGGTGGCTAAACGATGATGGTGGCTAAATGATGGCAGTGGCTAAACGAAGTCGGTGGCTAAACGAAGTCGGTGGCTAAATGAAGTCGGTGGCTAAACGATGATGGTGGCTAAATGAAGTCGGTGGCTAAATGAAGTCGGTGGCTAAACGATGGTGGTGGCTAAATGAAGTCGGTGGCTAAATGAAGTCGGTGGCTAAACGAAGTCAGTGGCTAAACGATGGTGGTGGCTAAACGATGATGGTGGCTAAACGATGATGGTTGCTAAACGATGATGGTGGCTAAACGATGATGGTGGCTTAACGATGTCGGTGGCTAAACGATGATGGTGGCTAAACGATGTCGGTGGCTAAACGATGAAGGTGGCTAAACAATGATGGTGGCTAAACGATGGCAGTGGCTTAACGATGTCGGTGGCTAAACGATGGCGGTGGCTAAACGATGATGGTGGCTAAATGAAGTCGGTGGCTAAACAATGGTGGTGGCTAAACGAAGTCGGTGGCTAAACGAAGTCGGTGGCTAAACAAAGTCAGTGGCTAAATGAAGTCAGTGGCTAAACGAAGTCGGTGGCTAAACGATGGTGGTGGCTAAACGAAGTCGGTGGCTAAATGAAGTCGGTGGCTAAACGATGTCGGTGGCTAAACGATGTCGGTGGCTAAACGATGTCGGTGGCTAAACGATGTCGGTGGCTAAACGATGATGGTGGCTAAACGATGGCGGTGGCTAAACGATGTCAGTGGCTAGCCAATGGCGGTGTCTCAGCGGCGGCGTGGTGGGGATTACCGCTGACCTCGCCAGGCGACCCCAATTTGTCCGCGGGATATCGCGAGAGAAGGGGATAGGTGGGACGGCTGGGATTTAGCCATGCATCTTCTCCCCATTTCACTCTTATCTTAATGAAAACGCCGGCAACCACCGACCGCGGGAAAAATTGCCGCCCCAAACGAAGGTTCCTGGGGAAAAAAAAAAAAAAGGTCTAATCTGCAAACGGAACTCTATTGAAACACGTTTTTACAGGAAAGACAGATGAAGGGCACTGAAAATCCTTAGACGAACGGGACATGAAAAATGTGTATTAGGTGAAGGTAAAGGCGGAGCGCTGCAATGTCTTGCTCAAGCCACTGCTAGCTAAAGGGGCCTCCACTAGGGGGAGCTCTGGAGAACCAGTCTGAAGGGATAAATGTTGGCCTACTCTTCCACACTGGCCAGTCGTGTAGCCCACGACCGCTGTTGGGTGGACAGACGTGGAGGTGCGTGGGGAGGATTTAAGAAACCTGCACCATTGTTTCAACCGCCACGCACGGGAGATTGAATCAAATCGGCGACCTTTGATTTGCAAGTTCAGCGTACTGACCGCGTTCTGACGACACTCGACGTGGCTATCGAAGCCGCGGACCTCCAGTGACTCGTCGTGTAACGCGTGCGTGTCAACTAAACGTGTGCCTGGTGCGTGTGCGCGTGCGGGGAGCGGTAGTGCGGCGGTTAGCGCGCCGCGCTACGAGCCTGGCGCCCCGAGTTCGATTCCCGCTCACGGCCAACACCGGTGACGATTATCCGAACCGGTTCTGGGCCTCCCCTGGCACTGCGTGCAAAGGCGGCCGGGCGTGGTGCCTGGCCGCCTTCCTGCGCCGTGCCGACCTTCACAAGTGCTACTCGCCTACAGTCCATTAAAGGCTACACGGCGGGGGGGGATCCTTGTCCTTGCGTGTGCGCGAGCAGCGTCCCCCAGATTGCGCTCAACATCGACCTGGCGCCGACGATGCTGGACATGGCCGGCCTGGACATCCCCGGCGACATGGACGGACGCTCGCTGCTCAAGCTGCTGCGGCGCAGCGACCGCCCGAGCAACAGGTGGGCGCGCGCTCACACAGCGCACCACGTCGAGCGGAGTTCAAAGGTCGAGCGTGCTTGAAGGCGGCAAAAGAGTGAGGCTCGGGGATTTGTTAAAACAGTGCGGAGGTCAAAGGTGGCCAATGTAGACATACATGCATCTCGACGGAGGACAACAAAAGCCCTTCTTGGATCGAGCCCACAAACAATAACGTCGCCATGTCCCACGTTCCCTAAGCAGCTTTGGTCAGTCAATCAATCAATCCCTTCGCGGCAAAACTGAGGAATCGCTGATTGTCCCACTTTCACGGGGTTGTGCTCTGGAGGAGCGAGTGATTGAGAGGGAGGGTGGGTTGGCGGGCGGGTGGGTGGGCTGGTGAGCGAGAGGGTCGGTGAGCAAGATTGTGAATGAGCAAGAGGGTGGGTGAGTGAGATAGTGAGTGAGCGAGCGAGAAGGTGGGGGAGTGAGTGTTTTGGTAATTGTCGCTGTGTTTTATTTCCAGGTTCCGTTCTGTTGGTGTGAAAAAGCCGATCGTTTGGAGAGACTCATTCCTCGTTGAAAGAGGGTAAGTTCTGTGGACTGCGGCTGGGTATGACTGCTCATGTGTTTAGACGGATCTTACCCTTAGCCCCGTTCAAGTTGTGAGCTTGACTGAATAAGGCGCAGCCCTACAATCGCTTGCTCATGCCACCGCTGGCAAATGAGCCTCCTCTATTTTGGCCCACTCTTCCAATGCCGGTCAGATTTCTTGGAAGGGGTGGGAATACCCACACTTTACTCCACCACACGCGACCCGCTGCTCGGCTAATCTGCGCTGTACCAAAGTTACGCCGCTTGGTGGATAAAGGCGGGGGATCGAATCGAAACCGGCGCGACCTCGTAGATTTGACGGGCGTCGTTTGATTCCACGCTGCAACGTCACAGTGCAACGCATTTGCGCTTGGCGGGCTCCCAATTCGCCGTCCTGAGTGGTACGTGTGTGTGGTGTGCGTGGCGCGTGTTGCCTGTGCGGTATGTGTGTGGTGTGTGTGCGGTGCGTGTGTGGTGTGTGTTTGTGCGTGTGTGTTGCGTGTGCCGCGCTTGTGGTGCGTGTGTGGTGCGTGTGTGGTGTGTGTTTGTGTGTGTGTGGTGCGTGTGTGGTGTGTGTTTGTGCGTGGGTGTTGTGTATGCCGTGCTTGTGGTGCGTGTGTGGTGTGGTGCGTGTGTGGTGCGTGTGTGGTGTGTGTTTGTGCGTGTGTGGTGTGTGTTTGTGTGTGTGTGTTGCATGTCCCGTGCGTGTGGTGCGTGTGTGGTGTGTGTGTGGTGCGTGTGTGGTGCGTGTGTGTGTGGTTCGTGTGTGTGTGGTGTGTGCGGTGCGTGTGCCGTGCTTGTGGTGCGTGTGTGGTGCCTGCGTCCCCTGCTCCCATGCCACCGCAGCAAGATGCTGCGTAAGAAGGAGGAGGGCACCTCGCCAGCGACCAACCAGCTGCCCAAGGTGGAGCGTCTCAAGGAGGTGTGCTCGCGCTCCGAGTATCAGACCGCCTGCCAGCAGCCAGGGCAGGTGAGTGCATGTACGTTGGTGTATTCGCACACATTGGAGCGAGTGCTCTTAGCGTTCACTTCCCTCTGCAAACCCGGCGGCTCGAGTTCGATTCCCGCTCACGGGCAACACCAGTGACGATTATCTGAACCGGTCTTGGGCCTCCCCTATGTCAACTCAGCCTTAAATGAGTACCTGGTGCGGTGTGTAAACATCGCCACTAGGGAGACAAATGCTGCCGGGCGTGGTGCTGGCCATACAACCCCTCGTGTGCCGTGCCGGCCTTCATAGGTGCTTGCGAACAGCACTCGTCCCAACAGTCTGTTAAGGCTCTACGGGGGATCTTTGTCGTGTTTATAAGGCTGATCTCACCATCGAACAAAACTTTGCGTCCCGTTTTCACATGCGCTTCTGCGACCGCCTGTAATGCTATGCACCTTTAAATCATCTAGATTGAAAACTAATTTCTGCACAACTGCTTGTGGCACCTAGTTTGTTTTCCTCTCCCCACACCTACGATGAGCACAAGTTGGCTACGTACGGTTGGCTATGCCGCCAATAATATCTGTTAAATTACAAGTTTTGCACAGACTATGCCAGGTGGTAGTGACTGTGTGGGCAGTGTTCATGTTGTATCACGGTTCTGAACCAGTAGTGGAAATTCAACATTCCTATGGCTGGGGTGAGTCTCAGGATAGGAAGACCACCGTTGACTTCCCGCTGTCCTTGTGAGCGAGTGAACACCGTGCACGTTCCAAGATGACATTTTAATTATAGATTTGAAGCTTTCGTGACTGCAAGGATTCATATTCTTAGGTGTTTTCGGTAAAGTCACGTAGGTAAAACATTAAAATTAATAAAAGTAAAATAAAATAAAAATCACGACTTGTGTTGCCTCCGAAACGTCGTGATTTTTATTTTATTTTACTTTTATTAATTTTAATGTTTTACCTACGTGACTTTACCGAAAACACCTAAGAATATTTTAGCTATAGCTTAGCGCCACTGATTTTCTGAACCTCACTGCCATCGTGAGTTGAGCTCACACAGTCTTCCAATGGCAAGCCACGCGCTCTAACCACTGCACCGCTCTGGCAGAGGAGATGTAATGAAGAGGTCATGTTGATGTTTGTCTCAAGCAGCAAGGGCGAGTGGTAATACAGAATATTTGTATTGGCTGCCAGAGCCCATTAGAATCGGAGCACGCTTCAAAGTTGAACGGTGGATAATGAGGCGATTTAATCGAAAACACATTGCAATTAGCGGAGTACGTTTTAAAACTCGATATTCATTTGGAGCGTGCGCGCGTGTGAACGGCACTCCGCCTAACCTCGGGCAGGCCCCCGTGTTGACTGCGATGTCGACAAACCGCCCCTTTTCGCGACGTGCGGGGCACGTGCACACGCGCACACACGCTGTACGACTTATCACCCCTCAAATGAAATGAAATGTCCCCGCGGCGCCGATAATCAAACGCCGCTCTCTCTTCTCCTGCCGCTGCGGTCTCGTTGGATATAAGCGTCCATCTCGACCATCGTCGCATAATTTTTTAACCGTTCATTAAATCCCCCCCCCCCTTCCTCTTGTGAGGTCGATCGCGGTGTCCTTAGCGCCGGTCGCACTCGTGGGGTCATTTCGGACAGGAGCCAGAATTAAGTGACCCACATAGATCTGTAGCTGCCTCCATAATGACATCTACTTGCCCTAGCGTGACTGCTGATGCCGCCCGGATCTATTCTAATCACGTGCCCTCGTCACCTTAGTTTATCATTTTTTGACAAGCGCCTTTTCTGCTCATTAAGGCACTACAGCATTGCCCTCATGCCGTTAATGTGTCGCATATGTTGCCCCAGTGATGCATTGCCAATCATCGGTGGTGCGTGCTTTCAATTTGTAATTTAGCGCCTTTGAGTTTGGGATTTGTGGGTCATGAAGAGACGCTCGTCTGTCCGCGGGGCAGTGAGCTGCCTACCAAAGCAGTGCAGCAAGTAGGTTGCTGACTTATCTGCAAGAGGTTTAAACATGTTCCCCGTGCACCTGTGGATTTTCCCCAGGGCGTTCTGGTTTCCTTCCACACGAAGCAAGCCAACTTATAATAAATTGGTTAAATATCCGATGAAAACCCTTCCTGAAATTTGGTCTCGAGACTTGCTGAAACCTTCCCGGGTAAATCCAGAAAATACATTTTTAAAATCGCATCTCACATCTCCACTCTGGTCACAAATGAACCGGGAGACCACCCATCGCATCCACATAATAATTCTCAACACATCAATAATTCGGTATCGGTCCAGCTTACATGGCCATATGAAAACAATGCCTTTTATGTACTCAGGGTTAGGCCACGCAGGTCCTGCATTTGGATGTTTGGCTGTGGCCGGTGCTATTAATGAGCGTGTCACAAAGCGGGAGGAAACCGGAGTACCTGGAGACAACCCACTCGTAAGAGAGGGGAAGACCCTCCGATTCGCACAGTTGGCTATGAACGGTGCAAAATAAGTTCAACATTCATACAACATAATCATTCATAATCAACGTTTTGGGGTTTAGATTGTGTTATTTATAAATGTGTCGTAACCCTCCACCACCCGACATTCTGGCGAATTGCCCGATGATGCTGGATGCAATTACCAGCGAAACGTCGTACTCAAATTGTAAATGTTGTGGTTTCACGCTTTAACACACCGGTGGGCTAAAGTAGTGAACTTTTTGTCTTTTGTCAACGTGACACTTTTTTACTGATTGGCCGTGTCGGGTGGTGGAGGGTTACGACACATTGATTAATAACGCGATCTAAACCCAAAACGTTGATTATGAATAATATTGGTCGCGAAAGCCTACGTGTTAAACATTCATACAACACCCAAAACTCCTGCACAGACAGATTCAATACACTGCTGGACTTCCACCTCCAAGCCACCTCACAGCCCAAGCCTACACCAGCCGATATCCCCAGGCATTCTCATATTCAAGTACGAACCAGGCTCGATCCTGGTTCATAAATTATTTTCGGGTCAGGCCACGTAATGATCTGGGACAAAATTTGTGTCAAAAGATCCCCCAGCCCTCCGCCACCACCGCCCGCTGACACGGCAAAACACATTTAATTGTCACGTTGTGTAGCAAGCGTGTAACAAGTAAACCCGTAAAAACTAAGTTTTTCACTCTAAATCCTTTATATGCGTGGCGGCTAGAGTTCTCTCGTCCTCTGGCTTGAGATGGCTGCAATCTATGGGTCAGATGATTGCATTGCACAATTAAGCAATTGGTAATTAAATATTTAATTTGTTTTCCCTAAACAGTGTAAAATTTTGGGGAAAAAATGTCAAGAAAATTAATTGTCACACACAACGAGTCTGTGTGCAAAATGTCAGCTCGATTGGATCACGGGAAGTGGGTTAAAAAACGAGCGAAAGATTTGCACGGTCCTAAGCAAGCAAGCGAACTTAATATAAAGGATTTAAAAATATATTCGCCTGTGGAGGACGCAGGGATCGATCCCGCGACCTTTGGCATGGGAAGCGAGGGCGCTACCAACTGCGCTACTCCACCACGGCCTGTGGAGGGGTTACGCTCTGGGCTCTTACACTCTGACGTTCAGACAAAGCCATGAATGCGTTCTATTTGAAAATATGTAAAATATTTTTTTTTGCCTAAAAAGTGTAAAATTTTGGGAATTTTTTTTTCACGAACAATAATTGTCTGGCACAACGAGTCTGTGTGGAAAATGTCAGCTCGATTGGATCACGGGAAGTGGGTTAAAAACCGACCGAAAGATTTGCACGGTCATAAGCAAGCAAGCAAGCACGCAAGTGAACTCAATATAAAGGATTTAAAAAAGCGCCAGTTACAGTATTATTGCTTCACCTCCCGGAAACCAGAAACATCGTTATCTTAATTGCTACATTTTGTCGTGAGAATTGCAATCATAATCTGCCCGCCCTTTAACTGCCGGCCGCGCGTGACAACCTAATGTGTTCGGCTGTGTCGGGCGGTGGAGGGTCTTTGAACACACATTTAGCCAGGTCTTTACATGGCCCGACCCAAAAGCGAATTACGAATCCTGTCACTGTCTGCGACAAGACCCTCATCACGCTTCGGCTCAGTGCGGCTCGGGGAGTCTGCGATATACCACGAGGTGAGGCGCAATGCGTCGGGATTTTAGTGGCGGTGGTGAAAGCGGCCGTCTGGCGTCGCCGCGCACTCGTGCGGCCCAGACAAGCCGAGACGAATGCAAACTCCGTTTGATGTGACAACGGAAGGCCGCCCCCCCCCCAACCTCTTAATGGGTGACTCGAGCAGCTTGAAAGGGTCACATTGGCACAAGCCCCGCATTTAGATTTGCACCAGCCCTGGCAAAAATAATAGGGCCTGACGCGGTTAGTGCGTTCTAATGGGAGACGTGCCGACTCAGTGGCAATAACAGCCGGCGCATCTGCGCTCGTGTTTCGTCCTGCAAACCTTTACTGTCGCTCACGCGATTAACTAAACCGACTTCGGGGGAGTGCTTACGCGTTGTCTGTTTGTGTCTTTGTGGTTGCACCTTGATAGGAGAGTGTATTTTAATAGTTGTGGATATTATGGCAATTACTCAAATCACCCACCCCCCCGACAGCGGATGCTTGCGAACTTACGATTTTGGATATTTAAAATTTTTGTTCATAATGTCATTGATCTAGAACTCACTGTGAGGTAGCGAGAGGGTTAATTAGCACCCGTGCTTAGTTTAGCACCTAATGAGATTACTACCTTCATCGCTTTTGGCAGTCGAACCACACTCATTGTAATAAGGGATACGGAGCCAGAGCCAGGCCAGGTGGCTCGTTTCAGCTCACACCACGTCAGCACGCTAAAGCGACATCATTGAGCTGAAAACCTGCGTTTGAATCTGGGTTTCAGCAGCCCGAGATTAAACCGGTCGCAAAAAAACACACATTATCGTAAATTATGTTCGTAATTTTACGTAATTAAATCCAATTCAAACTTTGGCTGCGATGTGATAGACATGCGACGAAACACTCCATGCAAGGCTTCTAAAAGCTGCGTGTCTAAGTGTTGATTAATTAAAATAAAATATCTATTGCAGGGGCAAGGAGATGCACTGCTCGCTTCGGAAGTTCCCTTAACAGAAATGTCTCCTTCTGACGACACGATGCCGATAGCACAACTTCAATATCATCGAGAGAAATGTATTGATAGCAAAGCGTAAAGGCGCGGCCCTGCAAATGCTTGCTCACGCCACTGCTGGCAGAAGGGCCTCCACCAGAGCCAGCTCTGGACAGCCCCTCGAGAGGGTGTTTGGGCCTGCTCTCTGATGCTGCCCATACCTCGTGCAAAAGGTTTGAATACCCCACATTCTAACCCCACCCACACACGACCTGCCAACCGTATGCGGTGAACCCATTTATACTTCTGGGTGGACAAAGGTGGCGCGTGGAATTCCATAAACCTGCCAATCGTTTCAACTGCCGGCGACCTCTGGAATGTGCCCTAGTGACCATTACAGCCATGACAGCGGCCTCCAGCGACTGTGCGGTGCACGCGAGTCCATTAAATGAGGCGTAAACTAATACAAAACAACACGCGCGTGATTCAATCCCCGTATCGTCGGCTTAAGAATCAACATCAATCGATGATTCGATCTGCCGCTTAAAGCCCCGAACACGTAGTGCTCAACGAGCGGTTAACTGCTACACGTACGCTCACGTGGGGGGGGGGGGGCATAACGCGTGCATGAAGGACCACATTGTCCGATGTTTGCCCGTGGAACGTCCCGCGAGAGAAGGTCATTGTAGTGTCGTGGAGTGTCGACGGCCGTCGCGTTCCTCTGCCAAACGTCTTCACGACAAGGGTCGCTTCGTAAACCGCCATGGGAGCGGCTAAATCTGGTCACCCTGGAAGTCTGATTTTGAATCTAGGGCGCAGCAAATATTAAATCAGAAGCACGCACAATTTTTTTTTACTTTTTTTCCGCACACTCTCCGGGGAAACGATGTGGCATTTGCACGGGGCCTGGCACCATGAATGTATGTATTCAGCTCACAGAGATTCTTTGTGCGGGACGGGGTTTTGCTTCATTCGTCGGGGTGGAAAGTCAGATTTGGTACGGGGATTCGTAAATAACTTTCTTGCCAAGAGCAGAGCGAAGACAGTGTGCAGGTACAGGGATTTTTAACAATGCCCGGCTGTGATGAACCTGTGGTCAAAGATAATCTCTCTAACCAGGCCATTACCCAGCATGTCGAGTGTCATTTCCCACCATGCCAAGCACATGTACGTGGATGTACACATTAGTGATCGGTTGCGCAATCCAAAACCTTATCGCTCTCAAGATCGCGCGACTTAATCATCGCCTGCGACTGCTTTGTCCACATCTTAGTGAGAAGTTACGCAAAAATGGCGTGGCTAAATTGTGTGGCCAAGCCCTTTACAGCAGAGCCCCCTCCTCTTATCTGGGTATCTCCACCCCACCCCTGACCTCCACCCCTCGCCCCTACATCAGGATTCAAACAACCAATCATAACGAGCAAATGTGCACCTGATGAAATACATCGGTAAAATTCACCAAGAAGATCACTTGAAAGTCTCTCTCTACTGCGCCTCTGATTTACGGTGCGAAAGAAGTCCACCATGCGCTCAACCAGTTGGGCAACTGCTCGCCACCGGTTGCAGAGACATCCACGCTTAAGCGATCCTCCAGCACGCGACCGCGTTGCGAGCGTTGAGCGAACCCCTAAACGTGCACCAAACTTTCAGGGTGACCTTTCTCTTTGCGCACGCGGCCGGCAGGAGTGGCACTGCGCGGAGGACGCCGTGGGCCGCCTGCGCCTCCACAAGTGCCGCGGCTCGTTCCCGGGCCACGAGCTGCCCGGCGCTCGCCCCCCTCTCCCGCACGGAGCGCTGTCCTCCCGGCGTTCCCGCAAGCTTCCCCGGCACGCCGGCACGCTGCCGCAGCCATGGTGCGTGTGCCCCGACGACGGCGGCGGCGGCGATGACGACGATGACGACGGCGGCGACGGCACGAGGGGCGCCGGCGGGGAGCCGGACGACGTCTTCGGTCGCGGAAACGCGGCGAGGTTCGGCAAAGCGCTCGGACGGAAGCACAAGAAGCGACAGCCTCCTGCTGCTGTCCAGGGCGCGGGGAACTCTCTCCGTGAGTTGCCCCCCCACCCACCTCACCCACCCACCTCACCCTCCCCAACCTGCATTGTGCGTCTGTGGCCTTGCTGAGTCAGGGAACGCTGCGTCGTCGGCAGTGGTGCACGAGCACGGATGACAAAAACGAATCGGCGATAACGCTGCCTTCGAAATAAAAAATGAGAGCACATAACGGGCAGGGTTTCGGGCAATGTTCATTCTTCACAGCGCACACAGAGAGGACACTCTGTGTGTCCTCTGAAAAATGGCCATTGCCCGAAACGTCGCCTATTATATACTTTATCTTCATAAGGGAGGGAGCGAGCACAGGTGATGAGCAGCCGCTCCGTTCGTTCTCTGCGATGTTGAATCCTTACCTGCCAGCGTTGGCTGTTTTGCAAAGGCTCCATAAACTTAGCCGCTATCTCACGTCTGCTCTGGCATCTGCTGGTCGCTCTCGGCAGTACATCATTTGGCACGCAGCCCGCTCGTTAGGCTTATCAGCGATTCACGAGCTCGGTGATGAATAACCGAGACTCGCTGCTCAGAAATGTTGCGTGTAAGCATCGGTTATAATTTATACTATCGATTAATATTCTTATTAGTTACATCTCATGAGAATGAGATGCTAATGTTGCCTTTAGGCTAATGGTACGAATGAAGGAGACAACAACATGAGATGAGACGGGACAGAATGAAATTGATTCCTGGCACCAGATTAGGAGAATGCATTGAATCGTGGGGTAGGTGAACTCTGACCTGGACATGCTTCGTATTTATACGTCTAATTCATGAACCCGTCTCTGTTCCAGCATCGTCGTGAAATTAATCCCAGGTGTATAAAAAAAACTGTTAGGCCTATAACATGGCCGGGTGACTCAGAAGTCAGAGTGCTGGGCTTGCACCGCTGATCCGAGATTTAAATCTGGCAGCCACGAGTCGATGGTATTATACCAGTAGGAAAAAAAAGACCCATCGAAATTTGTCGTTTCAAATTTGTCTAAATGCCACCTCTAAAAAATGTATATCTAGGTTTGACTTTCGTGGGACAAACGTTACTCGCAGAGTGGGTGGGAAAGTGCTGCCCCCTAGTGCTGTCGCCTGATGAAGCTTGTTGTAATTACTGGCGAAACGTCGTACTCGGATTGTAAATGTTGTGGCGCTCTCCAACACACCGGTGTGCTGTATTAGTAATGAATTGGCATGTTCTGTTCACGTGACAAACCTTACTAATTGGCTGTGTTGGGTGGTGGCGGGTTTAACGAAGCATTTTTAATCTTCGCAATCTAACCCAAAAAACCTGTATTTATGGGTCTCAAGAGGTAGTTCTGTGAGATCCGCTTCCTCATGCCATTCTCGCACATGAGGGATTCCGTTTCTTTGCAAGAGATCCCAATGGATTATTTTTCACGTGACGTGATGCTGATCGCGCAATCGGGATACAAGTGGAAGGAAATTTTTAAGAGAAAAAAACACAAAAAATCAAATATACAAATAAGAATCAAATTGAATCAGTTTAATTGACGCATCGTTACATTAACAACTTTCAGTTGTACGCCTATTCACGCGTACAAACGCAATAACGATGATGGTGATGGAGCACAATGAGCCAGATCCGCGTCGTACAAATTCTGCCAGCGAAATGCGCCGACGTCTCAGTCATCACGTGCGACGTGGCGACCTGCCAGAGCGACGCCGTGCGGCCGTTATCATCATGACCATTAGACATCGTGAGATGTACGTCACGCACACATACACACAGAGCCTTGTGTGTGTGTGCGCGTTCCCTCCCCAGCATACTGGTGGGGCAAGTGCTGCTAGTGAGTAGCACCTATGAGGCGGGCGTGGCATACGAGAGGGTAGTTGGCCAGCACCATGCCCTGACCACCTTTGTCTCCCCCGTGGCGATGTTTATACACCACACCGGGGTACTCATGTGAGGCTGAGTCGACCTAGCGGAGGCCCATGACCAGTGCACTGGTGTTGCCCGTGAGCGGGAATCGAACTTGTGTCACCAGGTTAATAGCGCAGCGTGCTAACTGCTGCACCACCGCTCCTTCCGCCCCCCCCCCTCCCCACCCCCCCCCCAGGGCTGAAGTCGCGGTTGAGTCGCGGCCGAGCCCTCCGCTCCGTCTCGCTGGACATGGTGGCCCAAGCTGACGAGCCGACCCCGGCGTTTCCCACCGGGGTCAACGCCACGGATGCCCCCACGGCCGCCCCCCGCACGGCCGCCCCCCTCGCGACCGCGGGCCTCCCCGCGGAGCTCAGCAGTCCCACGGCCACCGCCTCCAACCGTCCGGCCGCGAGCAGCTCGACGATGGAACGTCCCGTCCTGGATGATCGGCACAACGACCCCGAGGCGATGGTGAGCGAGGGCGATGGCGAACGCGAGCAAGATGACGGTGGAGATCGCGACGATGGCGCTGGCGACGATGATGTTGTTGGTGACGAAGATGAAGAAGATCAAGGCAACGATGACATCTTCGACCTGATCTTCGAGGAGGATGCTAAGCGAGGTTGGTGACTTTACACGGGCAACTTGGTAATGTGAAAAAAAACCACCAGAACAATTGTGGTTTGCAAAACGATTGTGCTGAATTATTCGGGTACTGAAGTAAGCGTGCATGCATCTGTGTCGGCGTGTGTGTGGGCTTGGGGAGAGGAAGTGTAGTTCTTAGCACACTGCACTACGAACCTGGCGATCCGAGTTTGATTCCCGCTCACGCCCAATAACAGTGACTATTTTCTGAACCGGTCCTGAGCCTATCCGAGGTCGACTCATCCTCAAATTAGTACCTGGTGCAGTGCGTAAACATCGCTACTGGGGAGACAAAGACGGCTTGGGCGTGGTTCTGGCCATCCCCGTTCTCGTGTGCCATGCCGGCCTTCATTGGTGCTTATGAACAGCACTTGCCCCAAACGTCTTTGTTGTGGGCGTATGCGTGCGCATCTGTGGTCCATTGCCCTGTAGGGCCGAGTAATGTAGTGGTCGGCACACTGCGCTACGAACCTGGCGACAAGAGTTAAAATCCCCCTTACGGCTCAAGTTAGCGACGACTATCTGCACTGGTCCTAGGCCTCACCTAGGTCAACTGAGCCTTAAATAAGTACTCAGTGCGATGCACACACATCAGCACCGTGGAGACAAATGCAAACAGGCGTGGCGCTGGTCACGTTACCCACTCATGCGCCATGCCGGCTTTAATAAGTGCCCGCTAACAGCACCTGCGCCAATTTATATCTATAGGTGTTAGCTAACATTGATTTCCTTTAATGTCTTCATGACGACAATGGGGAAGTTGCATTTTGCTTGTGTGTGTGTATGTGTTGTGGAGCGTCGGTGTCCTGGTCACGCACCGCACCGTGACCGCACGGTCCTGGGTTTGATTCCTGGCCGTGGATTTAGGGGAGACCCAGCGCCCTGTACGTAAACATCGCCGGCTCTCCCCTAAATCGACTTAGGGGTGTCAAGAGTAGCAATTGGGACTGTGTGGGAGACAATCACGGTGGGGGTAACATTGGCCAGGAGATGGCAACATGTAATCGCTCATTAATTGGCTGAAAACACCTTAATAGTTAGAGGACCCACAGAGCTCGGGGGGGGATAAGGTGCCAGGTCACCACGTGGCTGTTGCTGCCTTCCCCGCTCGTCTGTGGTTCCTCCTCCTCGTGCCTCTGAGTCATCGTCTGCCTCCCTTCGAGAGCGAGGGAACGCTGTGCGACGGTGCGTTACAAGTTAAAATGATTTTCTTTTTACATAAACACAGCTAATGAGACGACCGTATTTGCGCTGGTAGCTTTAACGGGTGCTCCCTAACAACCCTTGCCCACAACAACTGTGTATATCGATCTAATGAAACATGTTTCTGTTCAACGTCATCACCGCCATCGTACTACGACGGTTGTTTTAAAACATGTTTGTCTGCCATTCCCTTTTGAACTCAAGAACCCAAATGTGAGTTTGGCTGCTCACGAGCGTTTTCCACGCTCCTCTGTCTCCCCCCTCCTGCCTGTGTCGCAGCCCTGAGTGGAAACGAGATGGAGGAGGTCACCGAGGCCCTGTCACAAGGCCCCAACGAAGGCGACCAACGACCACCTATCGCCACGGCAACACCCACTGCCCTGGCCCTGAGGCCCAACCTCACAAGGGTCACGCACAGGTTACAGCCTCCGACCTTTCACCCCACGGGGGTCACCAGAAAGTCATGTCGTGACCTCTAACCTTTGCCGCTCATGATCGCCTCCCAGGGCTGTGGGTAGAGGATGTTTGGCTGATGAATTCCACCTTGGCAACGGGTCCCATTTTTAGCAACGCTTTGGATATCAAAGCCGCAGTTTTATTTTTCTTTAGCAGAACACGGTGGCTCTTTTTTTATGATAAAACCAATTTGCGCTTGTGTTTTTATGTCTGTACTTTGTAATTGTATACGTGTTACATCAAAGCTTTAAAAAAACTAATTTCACGTTTTGATTCACAAGATCAGAATTTATTTGTCGGGCAGACGTTTTACTGATCATGCAGCTCACAGATTATATGTTTTCAAACGCTCAAAATGGTTACAAAATTAGACTGAGCGCAAAGGTGTGACTTTGAAGCCCCTTACTGGACAGCTCTGGGCATCAACTGACAACACGGTGGGAACGCTTTCAATAGCGAACAATTTAACACACACTTGACGAATGTTTCCATCATAAAGTGAAACAAAATAAACCAGCATCACGAAAATACACCCAGCTGATCTCAGAACCCGGAGATTAGATCCAGCCTGAAGTTCACAAATGTCACATCCTGAATAATTGATGCAAAGTGGCCACGTGTGGTATTTTATTTTAAAAGGTCTCTTCATGCCCTTTGAGGCAGGAGTCCGGGTTGTTCAGCAGGCAGCATCTAACGCAGTTCAAGGCCATTGATCCCCCCCCCCCCACTCGAAAGGGTTCCCTCGTGGTCACCAGTTTGGAAATGTTGCCGATTTTGGCGGACTACTCGCAGCTATTATATGCGCAATAAACATCGCGTCCGCAATACGGGCAATGTTTTTATTAATAGGTGCGTTCATTCATACCACATTTCAACCGGCCTTCGGCAGGCTCTGTGATGCTTTTCTTCGAAAAGTGGGGATGTGTTCTTGTGGGGGGGAACATGGTTTGGGCGCGAGGAAAATGAACCGACACAGCCTTTATCCAGCAAGGGATTGAGAACGATCAACAAATAGTGACAAGCGTTACTTCAATATATATTCATATCAACTACGAATTTGAATGTTTACATCTGCAAGCTTTGCTTAAGTCTTGCCCAGCTCTGTTTAGTTTTTTTGTACTCCCAGCTTGTGATTTTCATACGAGAGTTCAAAATGGACGCTCCGTCTCTCGACGTGACGCCGATAGCGCAGTCAGAGTGGAGTTGGTGAAAAGACGAAACAAACGAGACACTCTTTTGGTCGCGTAACGTCCGCCCGCGTGCGTACTCGTCGCGTGTGCGTATGCTTTTAGGGAGCGGTGGCATCGCGGATAGCGCGCTGCGCTACAAACCTGGCAACTCGGGTTTGATTCCCGCCGACGGCCAACACCAGTGATGATTATCTGAACCGGTTCTGGGCCTCCCCTAGGTCTACTCAGCCTCAAATTAGTACCTGGCGCGATGTTTGAACATCGCCACTAGAGAGACAAAGGCGGCCGGGCATGGTGCATACCACCCAACCCCTCGTGTGGCATGCCGGCCTTCAACAACAGTCTGTTAAGGCTATATGGGGGAATCTTTGTGTTTTTGTTTTTGCCACCGTAGGTGCTTCTTTCTACTCAACCGAACGGTTCACTGCGACGAGGAGGTGTACCAGTCTGTCCGCGCTTGGAAGGACCACCGTCACTTTGTGGACCGGCAGGTGCGTGTTCCCCTCATCCGCTGCTCATTTTAGGCCTGAGTCGACCTAGGGAGAGGGCCCTGATAAGTTTACGCCCTTCCCCCCCGACCCCCCCAGAATATATTCCAGTTGTGCTCTCGGGGCGTCAAGTCCCGAGGTAAGGAAATGTCCCATTGATACTCGGGCAGCTAGCAGTGCATCAACCCTGCATTGAGAGGCCTCTCTATCCCCAGCTAGGAGGCACACCTTTTAAATTCCCCCACGCATGTGGCCTCAGACTCACGCTCAGACTTTATTGTCTGAGCAGGCGAGGCCCATTGTGCGTTGTCACGAGGATGACCACAGCCCAGGGGCCGTCGGCAGTAGCGGCAGTTACGGCGCATTACAGCGTGGGAATGTGCAAACTAACAAGAGCAACAACAACAACAACAACAAGTTGTTTAGACGAAACCCCATGCCAAAACTTTCTACAGTCAAACCCACCCTTTTAAGTCTCAGAACCAAATGAAGCGGCAAACCCAAATTGAATACGATGAAGGCTTTTTTTGGTGACCGGTGCTGAGACCATCAACCCACTCCGCTTGAATACCCAGTTTAAACAGGAGGCCGGGGGGACCCAGGTTTGAACCCAGAATCTCAGTGGTGGCAGCTGAGTGCCCTTACCCCATGATCCACCCCACCAGCTGAAGGGCACTGTTTTGTAATAGCATAAAGAGTTATAGATAGAGATGGGTCTAACATCCCAATACAGGACAGAGCTTGTGCAAATGTTCGTAGTGACGGCTCCGGCTCCTTCCCCATTGTCCGTGGTGAAAACTGCACGCGTCACAAAAATCTGGCACATTTTGAGATTCGATTTGGGTGAACGACGCCATGTAAAAATAATCATAATGATTAAATGTAAGTAATAATGACGACATGCTAATGAATGTTTGGATGAATTTCGATTTAAACCTTTCGTGACTGCAGGGATTCATCTTCTTGGTTCTTTCGGTAAAGTCACGTAGAATGATTCTCACGACGTTTCGGCCACAATGGCTGCTTGCGTTGTGGCCGAAACGTCGTGAGAATCATTTTATTATGTTTTATTTTTATTATTTTATTATTTCCCTTCTACGTGACTTTACCGAAAGAACAAAGAAAATGTTTGGATGAGCAAATCTCTCCCTCTGCAGATTGAGTCGTTGCAGGATAAGATCAAGTTCCTGCGGGAGGTCAGAGGTCACCTGAAGAAGAAACGCCCGGATGTGTGCGACTGTGGGAAGAAGAGGTATCCCTTCACCTTTGTGCTCGGTCGCGTCCTGAGTTACCGCGGTATTCTGCGGGATTATAAGACCCTCCAGAAAGTAAGATGCTCCCCCGAACGTTGGGGTCATTTTGAAAAATAAATCCAGAATGCGGGAAACAAGATTGTAAAATATAAAGCTAAGATATTGAGTGCACGTGAGGGTACGGTACCATTGAGATCCATCTTCCGAAAGATGATTACAAACGCGCTGCTTCACAATGGGGAGAGATGTTTTCACTGAAGATCATTCTAAACGGCTGGTAGTGACTTCTATCCCCTAGGTGGGTGGTCAGGTATCGCTCATGGACAGCCGTCTTCTGGACAATGATTCTGAACAACTCAATTAAAACACGTCCGCAGGAAGGCAATTCACTCTTCCAAATGACCATATAAGATGCACCCCCAACTCGTGACTTGAAATACAGAGGGAAAAAAGTGCATCTTATTATCTGGAGAATACGGTATGACTATTCCAGGCTCAAGGCCTTCCTATTGTGGGCGCCACGGTGGTGAGATGTTAACTACCTCGCTTGGTATACAGGAGGTCGTGGGTTTTATCCCGACACTGACACCAGTATATTTGGCGTTTGCATGCCTCTCTCCCCCCGTGGTCGTGTGTATTTTTCTCAAGGTCCTCCGTTTTTTTCCCTCCACATTTAGAATCAACATCACACGTTTAGAGTGTTTGGCTGCTATAAATTTCCACATGATAGCCACTTCGTCGGGGTATCATTTGTGGCCAGGTCGCTTCTGAAAAAGAGGTATATAGTTCAATGGGCTTCACTCTCATCTATCGAGTAATTTCATCGGCACTCCCTTTCGCCTCTGTGATGCGTATCTCCTAAACTTGTATTGCATCTTGAGATGTAGTTGCTCATAGATGCTCCGGGCCCATGCACGCACACACAAACCAAACGATCACGATAACTTATTGTTTTATTATTTATTAAGTAATTTGTCCAAGGAAAGCCTCACTGAGTATCTTAAGACTATATCTTTACGCAGGTTCTGCATTAATATATTTGTTCAGTTCCTTTCATAAGGAGGTTATTTAGTGTGAGAGAAAACCTACTATTCAGAAAAATGCCTACGTGTACGCAGAGATAATGTTCAAACATCCACAAATTTGCCAAAAAAAGTTACTTGCACGTTCATTAATTGGAAAAACCAACATCACAGCACATCCCGCTACTCGCAGACTAATGTCTACTCTCAGGCCGGTGCTGTGTTCACCTTGCGCCGCACAGAGACAACTGCCATTCGGGGAGGGGGGGTCTCCTAGGCTAAAATAAACCTGTGCCGCGAGAAATTTAGTTACATTTTTGGGCACGGTATGAATTCGAGTTGTTGTTGTTTACTGGCTCCCACGTGATTCAGTTGCCATCTCCTGGCCACCTCGCAGCCCGGCCGGGCGAGTTTGTGAGCTTGAGCAAACCTACCCGTGATCCACCGACCCTCGCCGCCAAAGCGACCGGCTCGTTGCTGGCCCACGCAACTACCCCGCCGTGTCTCTCAATCTCTCTCTCTCCCGCTTGCTGCGGTGGCGGCAGCAGCAAGGGAGTGTGGAGCGCGGAGCAGCGCAAGAAGGCGCTGCGCGAGGAGCGTCGCCGTCGCAAGGAGGAGAAGCGCCTGCGCAAGAAGAAGCACCGCAAGGGCGAGGCGTGCAGCTTCCCCGGCCTCACCTGCTTCACGCACGACAACGACCACTGGCAGACGCCGCCGTACTGGACGCGTGCGTTCACGCGGCAGCACGCACGCACGCACGCACCGCACGCACGCACCGCACGCACGCACCGCACACACGCACCGCACGCACGCACCGCATGCACGCACGCACCGCACGCACACACGCACCGCACGCACGCACGCGGCTCCTGATAATAAGCGCGCACGCTCAGTCACGCTCGCTCGGTCGCCCGTGTCGCTTGACGATGATAGCCATGAGTTGTTAGTGATCGAGGTCACACTCCTTGACGTGGGGTGGGGGAAAGCATCCCGGAGCGCGTAGCAAGAGATAAGCAAATCGCAGCGTCGCATCTCGTCTCAACGTATTTTATAAAGGGGCACATTCCCCACCGCCTACTCCTCGCACTCAAGTGGCAGCCGCTGCCCCCTGTCTGGCACAAGGTGACTTAGCACGTGACCGCCCGCAAGAGGGCATTTGTCTGCCGGAATCGGGGCGACGGGCGGTGCTCCTGCTGCGTGTAATCCGGACCGAGTGTGGGGAGTTTAGCGCCGTGGTTTTGGCATGCGGAGGGTCACCATGGTGACGGGAATCGTGAACGTTGACAAAAAGTCCGTGAAATATTTTTCGTTGTCACAATAATGCCTCGCGCAATGCGCCACACAGTACAGTTTTTGCATGATCGGTCAGATCGATGACGGCTAGGATGCGGCAAAAAAAATGAGCGCAAACGCAAAACGCACCGATACCCGGCATGCGACAAATGCCTCACTAACGAGAAGCATGGGACATGTGGCATCTCTATAAGGCTGCCTTGATGACCTCGTGGGGATGAAGAGATGGGGCCCAGGGGGGGAGCGTAGTGGGGGGGGGGAGCGGTGGGGGAGCGGTGGGGGGGGAGCATAGTGGGGGGGGAGCGGTTGGGGGGGAGCGGTGGTCTGGTCGGCCACCCGGCCTCTCGCGTGCCATGCCGGCCTTCATAGGTGCCACTCGCCCTTACAGTCTGTTAAGGCTATACGAGAGATCTTTGTACTTGTAGGGGCCAGTGGTATGGCTGGCCGCACAGCGCTGTTAATTATTGACCTAAAGCTTTCGTGACTGCAGGAATTCATATTCTTTGGGTCTTTCGGTAAAGCCACCTAGATAGACCAAATGATCAAAATAATAACAATATCACAACGTGTCGATAGCAACACAAGCATCGTCATCAGGTGGAAAATATAGCGGGAGAGCACCTGGGGCAGGAAAAAAAAATGTTTTCTTGTTCTATCTACGGGGCTTTACTGAAAGACCAAAAGAATATAGCGCTATTAATGTTTATTTTTCTACCGTAATTGGTTACCGGGGCTGAGGCAACCGCGTAAACTATGTAAACCCTGGGCTGGATCACTTTGGATGTAATTAAAAAAAAATCCAACTCCGTGCTATGCACGTGAACGCAATGTATGTACGTTGAACTTCTTTCGCACCGTACGTAGCCAACCGTGCCAATCGGAGGTGCCCGTTTACGTCGTTCGAGTCGTCCCGTTCGTCGCCAAACAAAACGAACGAACAAACAAAAACCAAACCCTCCTCAAACACTTTTTTTATTTCTGCCAACAGAAGGCACGTTCTGCGCGTGCACGAGCTCCAACAACAACACGTACTGGTGCGTGCGCACGCTCAACAGCAGCCACAACTCGCTCTTCTGCGAGTTCGCCACCGGCTTCATCGAGTACTTCGACCTCAACACCGACCCCTACCAGGTGACCTCCACATGCCTGCCTACCCTCCGCCACCACCCCGCCTGCGGGCCTGGCCTCGATTGCCCCAGCCAGGGCGGCGCATGGCGCCATGCAGGAGAAATGTTGAACGCGCCCGAGGAAAGTCCCCTGCACCTTGCTCCAATGCACAATGGGAAACGAATTCCTTACGCGAAACACACCGATACAACAACTTGAAGTCAATGCCTCGATGGTAAATATCTGTCCCGGTCCAGGCCTACCCCTAGGTCGACTCAGCCTTGAATGAGTACCTAGTGCGAAGTGTAATCATCAGCACTGGGGAGATAAAGGCGGCGGGGCGTGGAGATGGGCACCCACCCCCTCGTGTGCCGTGCCGGCCTTCATAGGCGCTCGCTAACAGCACTTGCCCCAACAGTCTGTTGAGGCTACACGGGGGATCTTTGTCTTCATGGACTCACCGCCTCCGTTTCCACGCAGATGCAGAACGCGGTGCACACTTTGGAGCGCGGCGCCCTCGGCGCCCTCCACGCTCAGCTCGCTGGGCTCCGCGCCTGCCGGGGACTCGGGCAGTGCGAGCCGCCCGCCAGCAACACGCACACAGGTAGTGGTCATCACACTCCTCCTACTCACACTCCTACTCACACTCCTACTCACACTCCTACTCACACTCCTACTCACACTCCTACTCACACTCCTACTCACACTCCTACTCACACTCCTCACACTCCTACTCACACTGCAGCAGCACATACACATTCTAGATTTGAAGCTTTCGTGACTGCAAGGATTCATATTCTTAGGTTTTTTCGGTAAAGTCACGTGGGTAAAAAATTAAAATTTAAATTAATAAAAGTAAAATAAAATAAATAAAAATCACGACGTTTCGGAGGCAACACGGAAGCTTGTGTTGCCTCCGAAACGTCGTGATTTTTATTTTATTTTTATTTTATTTCACTTCTATTAATTTTAATTTTTTACCTACGTGACTTTACCGAAAAAACCTAAGAATATAGCACACACACAGGTAGTGGTCATCCCGCACAGCGCCCCTACTCCTCACACTCCTCACCCTGCAGCAGCATCGCACACTCATGCACCTGCCCCACTCACTCAAAGTCCGTCATCTCATACTGCACCAACTACCCCACTTGATAAGTTTCCATCATCTTATACTGATACACCGAACCCACTCACGTTACATCCATCATCTTATACTGATCCACCTACCCCACTCACTTTACACCCATCATCTTAAACTGATACACCGACCCCACTCACTTTACACCCATCATCTTACACTGATCCACCTACCTCACTCACTTTACATCCATCATCTTACACTGATCCACCTACCTCACTCACTTTACATCCATCATCTTACACTGATCCACCGACCCTACCCACTCCAGTTCTACGAGTATTTGTTGGTCACGATGCGTAATCGACACATCGACGTTGCGTTGTTGCGCGTCCACGAGTTTGCAGGAAAATGTAACCCATCGTGTCCACGGTTGTCCAGCAACACTTTTAAACTACAACAAAGAGAATAGAAATACAAATTTAAAACGTCAAAAGTGATTTCGTGCTCAAACGAGCATTAAGGCGGAACTCATCTGCCGCTTACAACCATAATGCCGTGCTGGAAATTCCACATTCCTTTGGCAGGGGTGATTCCCTCCGGAGGACAACCACTGTTGATTTTATCCACAAAGTGGTACTCGTATCGATGGTGGTGATGATGATTGATGATGGGCTTGAGTTTACCAAAAACGGGGATTTGAACTGAGCCACCGCCCTAGCCGCTTCAAAAGAATCTGCAAAATTAAAGCGAGGTGGATGCGGTGTGCCAAGGTTACTCCCAGAAGAGTGACCCGGACTATGAATCACCTCGCTGTTTGTGCGAAACACACACAACACACATAACAGCACGCGCCTCTGCAGACCAGTCTTAACGTGCCAAGCTGGACAATGCGGGAAGGCGGAACTGATATCTTCGCACGCTTCACAACGCTCCACCGTGATCCACTTTGCTTTTTAATTGCGACGTCCGAAAACCTTTTCACAATTAACCGTGCGAATGCCGCTTTTAACGTCTGTGTTTCTCTTTGCAATCAGGTTTCAAAGGTGACAGCAGCTATGATAATTACAGGTACAAGGCTGTGTGGTCATAATCCACCTCCCATTCGCGTGCCGTCTCATTTCCAGCCCCATCGTCCATTCATTGCTGCAGCCAGCATGGCCATAACCAGCGTGTCGTTTGCTGTGATTTTCATTTTGCATGAGCTCGTTAAGGCCATTTGGTTTTAAGTTGTTGTGATTTTTTTTTCTGTAATTTTTCTTGCATTCCACGCGGTACCACCGGCGAGAGTTCACCGTCGCGTCTGTTGTTCAACGTATCCCGAAATGCATTTCCCACTGTTGGTGCATTGTCCCGGAAGGTTTTTGACGTAATGCCCAAATCCATACACGGCATTGTGTTGTATCGAAAACGATTTTATTGATACGAGATTCATCGCTAAGGGATGAGCTTTAGATTTTAATTTATTGTGATTTTGGAGTCGTTAATTGTTTAAACGAGTAGTTTACGTTTTGCGAAAACATGTCTTCGTACTCGCAAAACCGGATATCACCCGGTGTCATGTGACACCACTTTTGGCGGAAAAAGAGTGGACATGATGTCATTGAACTGATGTCACTTACCGTGACATCATGAAGTCATGTCTCTACGGGCTCAATCAATAACACTGCAGCAGCCACTGCTTATGTGAAGAGTGGTTCCTGGTGCCATCACGATACACATGTCGTCTGTTTGTTTTGAATAATCCACTGTGATTTGGCTGAAGCACAAAAGCAAATGTTTGTCCCACCATAAACAGAGAGATTTAAGGAGATAATTGGTTTTCTATTTGAGTCTTGTGCTATAAAAAATAAAATTCCCCTGTGTTATTGGATTTTAACAGATTTTAAATTGAAACTCGCTGTTCCCTAATCGTGGGTGGTGCTTTGGGTGTTTACATATTTTAATTATTCTTTTAATAGTTTTTTCCGTGTCAATTCACCACTTCTGGGTGAGTCCGTATTCTGTGCAGCACCCCCAGAGGGTACGTGTTAAACAAACTTAATGATTACACAAGAGGCTCTTCCGTGTGGCCCAAACGCAGCTAATAACTATTCAAAGTGGTTAGATGAGGATAAAGAGGCTTTGCTACCTTATTCGCCAGAATATTAAGGCCCTCGGGAATGTGAAACGCGTTCCCGGTGTCATTAAAGTTATGAAAGTCTGGTCACATCAAAACCGGCACCCGTCATTAGTCACCAATTGACGGTAACACCTCCGCGGCACCTGTGGCAGGCCAGGTGCACTTTGAGGCCACGCTGATTTAGGTCACGGTACAGACCCAAGTGCCATGGGTTGACCGACAGAGATGACTGGTCACGCCTAACAGATTATAATACAAATCCCCCACCGTTGCTTTAAAATGCAGGTAAAAGAGGGCATTTTATAGCCCGGCGAACATGGTCTATATTTTCCCAGAAAGGAGTCTCAAGACCTCCCAAGCAAGAGGTTCCTGCTTGGGATGTTTGGCCAATTCTATAACAAGTTGTTGGGCGTTTTTTGCACGTGGGAGAAACTCGAGTATCTGGAGAAACCTCGCGCATGCAGGAGGGGTATACTGAAACTCCACTCAAATTGGCATTTCAATAACCTGTTTGCTGCACTGATGCCTTAATTTTAGAGGAGGCTTAAAATATCCCAGAATGATGCCACCTTAAGGCATTTTTTTCAGAAGAGTCTCGCAACATTCGATTATTTGACCGATTCTATGAGTGAGAGTTTGGCTACATGTGGGAACGAAACCGGAGTGGCCGGAGAAATGCCACCATGCATATGGCCCGGGAAACACTCAGAGTGCCTTCTGACCACCCCAAAGCCACATATGAAAGTACTAACCAGGCCCTGCCCTGCTTAGCTTCCAAGGAAAATGGTCACCGGCAGGGTTGGTACATTCACCATTCGGGGGGGGGGCTCTAAGCAGAAATAATTTGAGGCAAACCTCCCTTTAAGCTTTAAAAAAAAAATTGGCCCTGCGAGGAAAAAAAAAATCATGCACTGTATGTCATCTGGTAATGTTCATTAATGCGATGTATTTGTTTTTTGTAAAATCTCGCCCTCACTGAAGAGGGCATCGCAATACTTTACAGTATAAATTAAACGAAGGTAGTCCTACCTTTAAAATCAAAACACATTTTTAAAACAATGAGAGGACATACTCAAGGATAAGCTAAAAGAGAAAAAAAGTCTTGCAGAGTTTCCTCAAATGTCTGGTGCTCGGAGGACCGGCGGAAAAGAGTTCCACATCTTAGGCACCACACTCGAGAAGGCCCCTACTACTACCGCCGAGTGTAGAATGAAAAACTCTAGGTCGAGCGAGCAGGTATGTATCTACCAGAAGTGTGAGGGGCCAGACGGGACTGCAGGTACTGATGACCCCCTCCATCAACCCCCAGGCTTAGATCCGCCACTCATAATGGCTCTCTCGTGTGGCTAAATCAAAGATCGCAAACGGGTTTTGATTCCTTACCTGTACCCGTACCCGGCCGCACCAGGGTCGCAAACGGGTACCCGTACCCGTACCCGGCCGTACCCGTACCCTACCCATACCCGGCCGGGTACGGGTAGGGTACGGGTATCGAGTGCCTGATTGCGACCTCTGGGATGAAGTCATGTTGCAGGCGCGGGTGGGTTGATTCTAGGAACTTTAACTGTGAGAAGAGACAAGACGTTGGGAAATGAGTGACAAACAGTTACTCACCAGTGACTCACGGCCTACCCATACCTGTACCCGGCCGCACCAGGGTCGCTACCCGTACCCGGCCGGGTACGGGTAGCCGGGTATCGGGTAGGGTACGGGTATCGGGCACCCGGTTGCGACCTCTGGGCTAAATATAGGAGGTTATAGTTGAGAGATTGGCGGCACGTGGGGAGAACCCAGAGTTAAATATTATCAACAACTTCAAGCTACAAAACGACCGTTACTTTTGTGCTCGGTGACGGTACCGTACAGCGGCCACCACTGAACGGCGCTGTGACCCGCTTTGAATTGTCCTCGTAAAATACGGGCACACCTCGCTTAGCGCTCAGGTTGCGTTCCTGGAGAAACGAGCGCTACAATCGAAACGGCGCTAAAAGGGCTCATGATACCATTGCGCTGAATTGGTTGCTGCGATACTCAATGTTGTACAAAAACCACACCAAGTCCATTCGCTGCTGGGTCAACGAAGTCCCGGACGCCCGTTGGTTACACGGTTAGACGAGACTCAGTTTAACTGTTTATGCGGAGACACGAAACAGAAATATATAAAATATGTATTATGCTGTTCGTGTTAACATATTCACATATTAACTAATTTATTGATCGTGCATAATAGTTTTACGTAGGTTCTGTTTTGGCCAAGTGTTGGATCTTTAGTCACTTCCGCTTTGAGCACTTGATATGGGAAATGTTTGCTGATTTATGTTGTTACTTTACAGTACTCTGTACAACAACGCTTAATAATTACTGCGCATTGCACATTGCATCACTTTTCGCCAAGCGAGGCGCTGGGTATTTTTTTTTACAGGGAAGGCTCCTTGCCTTTAAAAACACACACACACACATCAGGAAGATCACCAGCCTTGGCTTAAAGAATATCAACTGCTGATGAGGCAAAGCATGTCGAAACCGGTCCAGAGTTGGCTTGTTTTCAAACAATATTGTTTAGAAGCCCATGTGGCTGATGCGATGTGTTACAAAAATACTTTTGCTTGAGGGGGCAGCATTGTCTGCTTAATTACATTGCCGAGTGCAGTAAACTTTTACGTTGTCTTGAACATTTAACTGTTGCACGGTGAGCCGATTGTGAGTTTGCGTTGGCGGCATGTAGGTCGAATGCGTCACCTGCGCTGCTTGCCGCTACGTTTACCATCGCTTTGCCACTTCTACTATCAAGCGCGATTTATTCATTTTGCTCTTTGAGACATTGGCCCACAAATTGAGTATTGGTACCACCCAGTGGTGTGGCGAATGCTCACGATGTTTTTTTATTAATTAGTATTAAAGCAGTGTAACTCTTGATTACGTGCACGTGCTATAGGAAGGTCGTTGCGGTAGCTTATTTTTAACGACGTAACGAGATAAATGCCCGTTAAAGCGTGTTTAATAGAGAGTATCGGTTTGGAGAAGAGGACACATGCTTGTTCGATTTGAAACATCTGAAGGATTAGCGTTGATAACAAATGTGTCTATGAAACGGACGCTACGTACGGTAATATTTCTCCATAAGATAATTTTTTTGGGTTAGATCGCGTAAATATAAATGTGTCATTAAATCCGCCACCACCCGACACAGCCAATTAGTAAGGGTTGTCACGTAAACAGAACGTGGCCAATTCGTTACGAGTACCACACATCGATGTGTTGAGCAAATCCACAACATTTACAATCTGGGTACGACGTTTCGCCAGTAATTACAACCAGCTTCATCAGGCGACAACCAGATTTGTGGAGAAATCCTCCTGTTTCGTTCCTTAAATAGAGGGATAGATGTGATGATGTCACTTGTGAGCCCTTCACGTGGCTGTGTCTGGTGGTGGCGGGTGTAACAACACATTTATATTTACACGATCTAACCCAAAAAAAACCTATATTATGGATGATATTGGTCGCGAAAGCCTATGTGGTAATATTTCTGTCCGCGGATGGGCACTGCCCATGAGTGGTGCATCCAGATTAAGGTGAATGAAGGGAGTACTGGCTAAGGTGGATCCTGACACTCCAGATGGGACCAACGACCCCCACCTTGGCTCGTTAACTACTCCACTGCACTGTGTATAAAAATACGGAACATACTCATGGGCTGAAATATACAGCAGACTACGTATGGAGGGAGCAGTCAAACATTTCTGAGAAGGCAAGGCAGTATTGAAATCGCATGCAGAGTTGCAATGATAACTTTACAATGCTTTATTGATTCAGTTCTGTAGCCAAAACACCCTGTTGTTTTAGTCCAAATTGTGTTAATATTAATGAGATGTCCACAATTAATTAAACAGTGCTTCGGCTGTGACAGTTTTCTTCGTGCCTCGTTATCACATTTGTTTGACTGTGTACGCATCACAGTTTATTGACGGCAAGTAAAACTCGATTGCCAAAAACAGACACGTTCATATTTTTTTCGTATCCCATTTCACCGAATTAAAACAATCGGGGTTTGCAGTGCACCGTTTTTTTTATTCATTAAAATCAAACCCCCCAAAAACTGCGGCCCTTTTAGTAGTGCTCGTACAAAACTCTAAAAGTATTCGAGCTCTGTTCTTGTGCCCATGAAATGCCAATTGCTCATCCCACATCTCGCTGCATCTCACTCTTGTCGACATCTCCTTTTCATTTCACATTCATGGCTCTTCGCTGTATCTCTCTTCTCTCATCTCATTGCGCCTCAATCTGTTGTTCACGTTAATCTCATCTCTGCCACCTCTCTATCTCACTCGGAGTTCATGCTTCGCCCCCCCCCCCCACCCCCATGGGTTAACACCACCACCACTGTGTACCGAGCTCTCATGAAAAATGCCACATTGTCACAGTTTTGCACCACGTAATTATTTTCTCTCGCAGTGCCACCAGCGACCTCTTGGTGTTATTAAATTATTTCGAAAGAAATCTGTCCGATGGGGGGTTTTTGCTGTTGTTTTACATCGGCGACAGAAAACTCCCACACTTGCGATTGCCAACCCTTGGGCTTGCGCCAGATCTGTTCCCCACAGCGAGCGTAGGTGCCAGCCAGAGCTGCTCAGCATAAAGTCCCCCCCCCTCCAACCACCACCAGCCGACACAACGAGCGTAGACAGACGACAATGACGGCTACGCTGTGCTGATGAGTCCACGTGCAGAGATGATGAATCCTGTAGGTTGTTGCCTTGTGGTCCTGCCGTGGCCTTGAATTCAAAGGGGGGGGGGGCGAAAATTTCACCCCCTCTAGCTCTGTCGAGCTGAGTCAACACAGTGCTGCGTGTAGGGATGTATGCGGTGGTGTCACCGTGACATGCACAGCATGCTGGGACTTATTGTTCTGCTTTTTGCCGTCTTAAGACACCGTTTTGTGGATATTAACACGAGTTTGTTTCCAGCCTGCATGCTTTTTTTTCTCTTCAATCACAGACACATCTTTGTTTCCGAGTGTGTAAGGGACGTACGGTCGCCAACCTGTAGGGGTGTAACGATTCTTAAGACTGCCACACATGCATTAATTCACCCATGCAAGTATAAGTGTGTTCCATATATATTCATACCCTGTGTGTCGCGTGCAATTGGTTCACGCGACCCCTACACACATTAAAGGCCGCTACGTTAAGTAAACATTTAATCTTTTTATCGAATTGTGACAGATCGTTACACCCCTCTGCAAATTGTTCAGCTGCATGCAAAAGTCACTTTGGTAATTGTTGTAAACCTCGTTGTTGTTGTTGTTGTGCAGGGAAAAAATCTGGGACGGATGGGAAGGGTAAGACTCCGGCAGGCCTGGACGAGGACGTGTGGCCGTGGAGTCACGGGGACCCGTCCTTCGGACACAACTCCATCCTGGGCCATCATCATCATCCTCATCACCACCATCATCACCTTCCCCATAACCATCATAATCATCCTCCACCTCCTCCGCGCCGCTACCACGGCGACCCCCCGCACTCACTCGACTCGACGGCCGTGGCCAGCAACAGCGGCTGGGCTAATTTTTGGCTCGACGTGGACACTGTGGTGGAACTGCTTCGGGATTTGCACGGTAGCCAGGGCACGGAGATGAAACCGCGCGCGGCCGCCGGCAACGCGGCCACCGATTTCGCCTCCGCTCCGTCCTCCGCCACGGCCAAGCGGAGAGCGCCGTTGGTCCCGGACGCCGAGGACGGATCTGGCGCGTCTCTGACGCTCGAGGTGGCTGAGAAGGAGGAGGAGACGGTGGATGATGAGGACGAGGAGAGGGAGGCGGCCGTGGATTCCAGCGGACTTGGTCCTTTGGACTTGGGGTGGCTCCAGGACGGGGCAGGACGCAGTCGCGGGGAGTGCCGGCGTTAGCCGCGGCAGAATCGGCAAGAGCAGGAGAAAGGACGGCCGAGGCAGGGATGGCAAAGTCGGAACCCGCCACAGCAGCAGCAGCAGCATGAGTAGAAAGCACCGGCTGGGCACCGACATCAGGAATCAGGATGGCAGCTACAACGGGAGCAGCAGCAGGATCCAGAGCAGCAGTAGTAGCAGCCACTCAGCTGCGAACGACACATACAGCAGCGTTCGTGGAGGGCTTTCCGATGCCGATGGCGGTTCAGGCGAAGAGGGCCATCAGGTGTACGCGTCGGGATCCAGTCGAGTCGTGAGCAAGATCAGCTTCATCCCAGAGTCCACGGCTGAGCCAGACTTCAGCGGAGAAGGATTCATCCCCATTCATGATCATCAGTGACACCGCGGCGTTCCTGCGTGTGAGTGTGTGCGGTGACAGGCCATGTGGGACCTTTGTTTGTGTGTGTGCTGTGATTGGCGCACTGTGCCACAATCCTAGCCAACCGGAGTTAGATTCCTCGCCGAGCACAGCACCAATACCAGTTGATATCTGAACCTGGCCTGAGCCTCCCCTAGGTCAACTCAGCCTAGAATAAGTACCCGGTGCGGTGTTGTGGTTTGAACCATGAAGCGCCGGTCAGACGGGAGGTGGCAACACGCCCATGGTGCTGAACCCAATCTGCCACCTCATAAGCATGTGCTGTGCTGGCCTTAACAGGTGCTCGCTTATATCATAATTTTGTCAACATTGTATTAGCAAGTGTGCTCTAGGTTTGTATACAAATCGTCATTTCTTTATGACAGGGTTGGGCTACAGCACGGCATGGCTCACTAGCAAATTTGGCCAAATCTGGGCTTAATGGGAATGTGAGAGAGAGAGAGTGAGTGGTCTTCTCTCTCCAGAGAGAGACAGCCAGGCACGTACAAAATGAACGGCGCTCATTTCGCGGTTGCCATGCCCTGGACGCTGAAGGTTATTTATCTGTGCGTGGAAGTGCTTTTGTTATTCGTTGGCTGCGACTTCGTGTGGGACAAACGCGACTGACTTGACCACGTGAAATTGTTGCAATGCTCCGCTAAGACGTCGCATAAAAAGTAAATTAACAATAATATTACACAGCAAATACGGGTGTTTAAAATACACCGGTCTTTTGGTACCTATTCATAAATGTCTACGTATGATCACGCGTGTACGGGTGTATATATATATGCCTTCAATTGTACCTTATTTGACATCTTGTGGGTTATTATATGTATAAAAACACAGTGCAAATAGGCGTACATTGATACATTTTATAGTGCACTTTAACATCCAAAACGTTTCAGAGCGTAAGTTCGGAGCATTACGATTGCAGTTCAAACGTCTGACATTACCCAATGTCTTGATTCCCTTGTTTGCTATGCCAGGTCTGACATTCGACGTGAGATAAATTCTCTTTCATTATCTACACAGGTCATAAAGTCTGCATTTTGGCACTACGGCACATTCCACACGGTGCCTTTTCTTACTCCTCAACACACGAGGGGGCAAGAAATTTAGGCAGAATATCACACGTTTGGGTCTCTCCATATTCTCCTATATCTGTCACGAGCAACACGCACGCACTATAAAACAATGTCGTCATCAGTCAATGTATTGGGCCAGAGTTTTGACCAAAATGCTTTCTACGCTTTTCATGTCTCGTAAATCTACCGTGTAGTCTATTGAAATCGTATACTGTACTCTATTTGCTTTGCCATTGACTTTCAACTGCTCCGACCGCTGATGAGAGAGAGATATACTTGACATTGTTATTTATTAAAGGTCAGACTGGGCCCCGCCGTCGATATGTGGAATTAACATCCACTGGCTCAAGACAAACAAATGGTTATTACCACCGCCCAGCGCTCGAATAAAGCATGGGGTAAAACATTTTGTTACGTATATAGTGCATAATACTTATGATAACATTCGTGTGAATTTAGTTGTGAAGTCTGCTTTGGAAGTAAATGTAGGTGGATTGTAAAAGTGGCTGTACTGTAAAATAAAATCCACATTTTAAAGGCGTTGGATATTTAATATTTTAGGCCACGCGTACGCACCGCGTGGCCTAAGGTTCTTGAGAAAATGTTAACCCCCTTGTCTGTTCCTGTGTCGTCGTTTCAGTATTAATTACACGAGTGATAATGCGGGCAGGTAAACACTCCCCTTTGCTAAAGAACAAATGACGAAAAAAAACACACACACGCACTGCTCTGCAGCGGTCTCAAAGGCCCCAAAGTATTTTTTTTCTCATTACCCGCAGAAATTCGACAAGAGCTATGTTGTTTTGTTACTTGAATTAAAGTGCATACCGTGGTTTACTTTGTCCCTTTTCATTTTATGATGGGTTTTTTTCCTTCGTTTTACAAGATTTGTGTTTACAATATTTGTCTACTAATTTTGACGACTAAATGAAAAGTGAAAATTCCTGGCAATGAGGGAAGGCACCAGTTGTTTGATGGTGGAGCACACTAGCCAGCCAGATACTAGCCCTAACCCAAGTCACACTATCTATCAAGACACAATCCCTAACCCTACTACTACACTAGCCAGGCAGATACTAGCCCTAACCCAAGTCACAATATCTATCAAGACACAATCCCTAACCCTACTACTACACTAGCCAGCCAGATACTAGCCCTAACCCAAGTCACAATATCTCTCAAGACACAATCTCTAACCCTACTACTACACTAGCCAGCCAGATACTAGTCCTAACCCAAGTCACACTATCTATCAAGACACAATCCCTAACCCTACTACTACACTAGCCAGGCAGATACTAGCCCTAACCCAAGTCACAATATCTATCAAGACACAATCCCTAACCCTACTACTACACTAGCCAGCCAGATACTAGCCCTAACCCAAGTCACAATATCTCTCAAGACACAATCTCTAACCCTACTACTACACTAGCCAGCCAGATACTAGTCCTAACCCAAGTCACAATATCTATCAAGACACAATCCCTAACCCTACTACTACACTAGCCAGCCAGATACTAGCCCTAACCCAAGTCACAATATCTATCAAGACACAATCCCTAACCCTACTACTACACTAGCCAGCCAGATACTAGCCCTAACCCAAGTCACAATATCTATCAAGACACAATCTCTAACCCTACTACTACACTAGCCAGCCAGATACTAGCCCTAACCCAAGTCACAATATCTATCAAGACACAATCCCTAACCCTACTACTACACTAGCCAGCCAGATACTAGCCCTAACCCAAGTCACAATATCTGTCAAGACACAATCTCTAACCCTACTACCACACGAGCCAGCCAGATACTAGCCCTAACCCAAGTCACAATATCTGTCAAGACACAATCTCTAACCCTACTACTACACTAGCCAGCCAGATACTAGCCCTAACCCAAGTCACAATATCTATCAAGACACAATCCCTAACCCTACTACTACACTAGCCAGCCAGATACTAGCCCTAACCCAAGTCACAATATCTGTCAAAACACAATCCCTAACCCTACTACCACACGAGCCAGCCAGATAGTAGACCTAACCATAACTACTACCACTCTCTCCCTAATTCAAGTGACAATACCCAGCCAAACACAATCCCTAACGACTACCACACGAGCCAGCCAGATGCTAGCCTAGCGCTAACCACAATAGCCCTAATCCTAACCACACTATGCCAAGCCCATCCACGTTAACTTTAACGCCAACCATACTAGTCAGTCAGACACTAGTACTAACACTACTAGCACTAACCCTAACCACACTAGTACGCACCCTAACCACACTACTAGCACTAACCCTAACCACACTAGTACGCACCCTAACCACACTAGCACTAACCCTAACCACACTAGTACGCACCCTAACCACACTAGCACTAATCCTAACCACACTAGCACTAATCCTAACCACACTACTAGCCCTAACCTTCACCACACTCGCCAGCCAGACACGAGCCCTTCACCACATTAGCCAGCCAGACATTCTCATTCCATCTGATCCAATTTCCCCCCTCACCTCGCAACATTACACTCAATACTTGGGGTTCTTGAGCCATGACCATTGAATGGGAGAGTCGAGGTGGCTTTTGCCTTGGCATCCTTTGGCGGCGTTTGTAATGTGAAACCATCATCGGATCCAGCGTAACGTCATACTTGGAACAAGGCAATTATCATGATGGCAAATCTCTGTGTGATCCACTCACGCTGGCCATCCCACGCCTCGACATCACAGGCGTGCATCACGACCACCACCACCACGCCTGCACAAAGCAATTCAGGGCAAACCGGTAGGACCTGCTCAGAGGTGAGTACAAGTTTCAACTCGGAGATGAAGGCGAGTTGAGAGACCCACCAGGCCAGATTCAAAACTAATTTCTTCAGAAGTACCTGCTGCGGTTAAGTTGTCCTTCCCCTGCACCTCCGATTAGTACGGTTGCCTACGTACGGTGCGAAAGAAGTTCAACCCCAGCCTCTATACATCCCCAGCCTCTGTGAGCTATCGTCCAGGTCTGCCCTCACAACCCAGCAAGGGCCCAAGTTCTCGCTCGATATATTCCGATGTACGCCGTCGTTCTTCGACCGCCAACAATGCTTTGCCATCGGTATCGTGACCTTCCTCCGTCTCCCCTGCCTTCCAATGAACGTGCCTCTGTGGACACATCTCGACTGCCAAGTAAAACATGTTTTGCGCAGCCACTGTGCGCGAAGTGGGCCCTCTCCGCTTGACGCGCGCACACGTTCATGCCCACGCTTGCCACCAAATGTTCACTCGCAAATGTTTATACTGGTAGGAACCCACTGGTTCCACCAGCCCACAGGGGATTATTGTGTCCGTCCGTCGTGCAGGGAGGGGCTGGGTGGGGAGGGAGGGGCAGAGTGGGGAGGGGAGGGTGGGGGGTGGGAGGGGTGGGGCTGGGTGGGGAGGGGCTGGTCACCCCGCGGTGCCCTTATAAAACTCAACGTTTAACCTACTCACGCCGGCTTGTGCCCAACCTCACAATCGGCCATATTTGCGGAATACACCACGCCGCCGTTGACCCTGGCCATTGACCGAGCAACCCAACGTTCCTACCAGCTCCCTCCGCAGGAATGTGTTTTTGCCTTTCCACTCGAAACGTTTTTCATCAGAAAGCAAAAAAAAACCGACGACTGAACGAAATAAAATTCTTAAATTAGTTTGTTGTTGTTGAGAGTTTGGTTCGTTCCAGCAGTGAGCCATCGAAATGCGTGGTTTACATGAGACAAAAGTTTATTTGTGCGGGGTAGAAAATGTGTCCTAAGGTGGATTGAAGAGGACCAGCAAATGACGAAACATTTACTTAAGAAGCGGTTCTCCGACGTCGTATTCCCGGGGCGATCGCGATGCGTCGTTCCATCGCGACCGACGAACGCGAGACTCTGTGAGCGTCTCACCTTCGTCGACTTGTGAACTTTCGAGATGAGAAAAAAAAATCGCTACTAGCAAACTCCCCAAATGCGGACAAAAGACGCCTATCGAAGTGAGTACACACAACAAGCGATGTGAAGTCACTCTTCCCACCCGGGGCTATGCTTTGACAGCGCGATGCAAGAATTCCAAACGCGAATGTATAACGGTGAGTGGTTAACGATTCACTCTCGACCCCCACAACCATCCGTTGAATTGTCACGATTCTGAGTTTTTATTCGATTTTTGTCTTCACATTGCGTGAACCCCTCGCGTACAACACAAATAAACGTCGATTAAATGAACAAACATTCAATCAATAAACATCCATTAATTTAATAAATAAAGCATTTAATAAATAAGCATAGAGGAACATAGATTCGTGCACATGTGATCCGATGCACGGTATCGCCGTGAGCGTGGCAAAACAATGTTCATCGACGAATCGACGCGTCGTTCCACTTCCGACGAACGACCTCGTGACTTTCTTTGAGCACCTTGCAAATTGCAGACTTGTGAGGACCCAGTCTTTCTATAAGTCTGCAGAAGAGAGACAGTGTGTGTGTGAGTGTGGGGAGCGGTAGTGAAACTGGCGACACGGGTTCGATTCTCGCTCCCGGCCAACCACCGGTGACGATTAACTGAACAGGTCCTGGGTCTCCCCTAGGTCGACTCAGCCTCAAATGAGTACCTGGTGCGGTGTGTAGTAAACATCGCCACGAGGGAGACAAAGCCGGCCAGACGTGGTGTTGGCCACCCACCCCCTCGTGTGCCGTGCCGGCCTTCATAGGTCCTTGCATCCAACAGTCTATCAAATTGTGTGTGCTGCATTGTGTGTGTAGATAAACACATCATCGCAGTTAATTTCACCGTCTTAGGGGCCGTCCATAAATGACGTCACGCACCTAGGGGAGGGGGGTCAGACATTTGTGACGATGTGTGACGGGGGGGGTGTGAGAAATGTGACGTCACATCAAAATGCGCAACTTTAAATATAAACAACACGTTCTACTTAATTAAATATAATTGTAATAACAACACTAATTTTGATAAATTTTCATTATTAACTATTTGATTTTTTAAAATTTAATAAGGTCACCTTTCATTTATTCCACAAAGGAGCATTTTTCGTCTGCATCGGAGAATGGAGAAGCATAAATTTAGTTATTCAACATTTTGATTTTAATTACTCTACCAGGTCTTTTCATTCTGTGGAATGAATATGTGATTGTTATAATTGTACTCTCCATTTTGCTTCATTCAACTACAAAGTTTCAAGTATGTTTTTAAAAGCTATAATTACTTTTAATATATGATAATTATAAGAGAATTTTAATATAATATATTCAAGTTAATTTTATGCTAAATGTAAGCTTTCCAACAGTACGTGTTTCTCCTACAACATCAGAGTGCAGCGCCGCATTAAATACGCACTACAATGACGATAGTTTAAAGCGATTTGAAGCATTTTTTATTTTCAAAATGGAAATATGGTTTATGGGGGGGGGGCAGAGCTTTGTGGCGTCATATTTGAGGGGGGGTCTGACTTTTTGTGACGCCGTGTGACGAGGGGGGGGTCAAAAATCCTTCAAAATCGCGTGACGTCATTTATGGACGGCCCCCTTAGATGGCTACGTACGCCGCGAAAGAAATTCAACATACGTACTACGTACAACCACCAGCAGTACTATCAATGGAATATATGCTAAGTTGGCTCCGCTTAATACGTGTAATGCTGTCAACCCATTCGGTTTACCCCGTATTCGCGTACAGGGAAATTGCGTTGTCAGGTCCATACGATGTACAGCCGTTCCAATACGGGCACAAACATTTTTTTTGTCTATTTGTTTGTATTTCTTCCTTGTGATGGGACTTTGTAGGATGAACGTTGAGGTGTATAAGGGCGCGGGGTGACCAGTAATGTCTGAATTGGTCTGTAATAAGGTAGTGCACTGATAAGGGGTTGACAGGTATCACTTGATGTGCAATTCACATGAGTACAGGATAGGTGGTATTAGCCACAACGTATGCTGCACGGGCCCTAATAAGTGCTCGCCAACAGCACTTGGTCAAATAAGCAACGCTGTCAGAGTATGGGATTAATTGTTTCGTCAATTAGTTTGGATCTTTGATTGCAATGTGTTGAATCCGTGGAAGGGTAATGCGGTGTGTGCATCCTTGACGGCAAAAGTGCGGGGCACAGAGAGAGGTCCTCAGGATGTGCAATGTTTATCACGCGATGATGGAATTCACCAGTCAACATCGATCGTCACACATTCATCATCGGACCTCCTCCCCTGGGTCAAGGCCTTCAGTTGCTGGATCAGAGAGCCGCGGGTAGGGGAGTGGTGTGACGAGAGGGCAGACGGCAGGCAGGGGCCAAGTGCATTGAGAATCGTGGTGAGGTTAGTGAAGGTGATCGTGGAGTTGACTTGGAAATGGATTTGGACAGCGGGAGGGAAGTGAGGTTAATGGTCAGGGCCGTCTATAGGTGGCGGGGGGGGGGCAGCTCACAGCACCGTGTGGGGCCGCCAACGCATTCAAACTAAACCGGAAGTATTACATCTGACACCGTGCCGTCAAAACGCGGAGTCCCTCCAAAGTGCAGGGCTCGGGCCGGTCGCCCTGATTCGCCGTAAAGGGACGGCTCTCATAATGGGTGATGTGTGCTCTGGTTTACGAGTGTGGGTGAGCAGGTTTGTGGTGATGTCATGAATTGGGAGACAGTGGAGGGATGTGAGGATTATGGGTGATGTGTGCTCTGGTTGACGAGTGTGGGTGAGCGGTGTTGTGGTGATGTCATGGATTGGGAGACAGCAGTGGAGGGTTTTGAGGATTATGGGTGATGTGTGCTCTGGTTTACAAGTGTGGGTGAGCGGTGTTGTGGTGATGTCATGGATTGGGAGACGGTGGAGGGATGTGAGGATTATGGGTGATCTCTGGTTTACGAGTGTGGGTGAGCGGTGTTGTGGTGATGTCATGGATTGGGAGACAGCAGTGGAGGGATGTGAGGATTATGGGTGATGTGTGCTCTGGTTTACGAGTGTGGTTGAGCAGGTTTGTGGTGATGTTAACCAGAGGTACTCACTTGTTGCGGCCTCAAAGGAGCCTGGGCTTTCCCGAGGGCATCTGTAGCGCAGCAGTGCCCGAGTCAAGGCCCCCCATGATATCCTCCTGGTGTTTTACTGGATCCGACACTTGCGACTCGCCCTGGTGTTTTTGTTAAACATAAAAACAACATCGTACCACTGACATTATGCACTCCCAGATAGGCCTCCGTGCGACTGATGAGATGTGTAAAAATATATATATACTTAATTCTAGATTTGAAGCTTTCGTGACAGCCAAATTTACTGTAAACTTGGCTGTGACGGTCCCACCTGAAGACGGAGACTTGTGTTGCCTCCGAAACGTCGTGATTTAATTGAGTTATTTTTATATTCTTGGTTCTTTCGGTAAAGTCACGTAGAAGGGAAATAATAATATTTTCATAATTGTATTATATATTTATTATTATATTATTTCCCTTCTATGTGACTTTACCGAAAGAACCAAGAATATGAATCCCTGCACTCACGAAAGCTTTAAATCAAAATTTGAGTTTTTTTCCATTTAATATTTTATTGTTATTTTTTACCTATGTGACTTTACCGAAAAAACCTAAGAGTACAATATATATATAATGTTATTTATTCACGTGGAGGGACAGAGTGGTGAAGGGGGCGTATTTGTCCGCACGCTTTTTAAATCCTTTATATTAAGTTCACTTGCTTGCTTAGGACCGTGCAAATTTTCGGTCGTTTTTTAACCCACTTCCCGTGATCCAATCGAGCTGACATTTTCCACACAGACTCGTTGTGCGTGACAATTAATGTTCGTGAAAATTTTTTCCAAAATTTTACACTTTTTAGGACAAAAATATAATATTTAATTACCAATTGCTTAATGGTGGCAGGCAATCATCTGACCCATAGGTGGCAGCCATCTCAAGCCAGAGGACGAGAGGACTCTAGCCGCCACGCATATAAAGGATTTATAGTGAAAAACTTTGTTTTTACGGGTTCATTTTTTGCTGCGTTCTGCACGGCAGCGCTGCTGGTTATTGTGACAAATCCGCTCACGTGCTCCGTCACGGAGAGCGTCACCTGCAGGTGGCGAACTTGAGTTCACGAACGCTGCGGTCACTTAGGCCTGTCAAGAAGCGATGTGCGCGCGTGCGTTGCATCGCCTCTGCTGCTGCCCGTTGTCGACGTCTCTTCTGTCGTGACTGGACCGAGTCTCGTGGCCGTATTCGTGGTAGCAGGATAACAGCGCCCTTGTATCCTGTGTTGTACACAGTGGTGCATCACATACTACTGTAGTAGGGGTTACATCTTGATTTAAAGCTTTCGTGACTGCAGGGATTCATATTATTTCGTTCTTTCGGTAAAGTCACGTAGAAGGGAAATCATATGTTTATTATTTTATTATTTCCCTTCTACGTGACTTTACGGAAAGAACCAAGATTAGGGGTACATCTATTAATGCGGTATAGATGTATGAAGCTCACTGCAGTATACGCTCATGCGGAGTGTGAGAAATTCCACCTCTGTCAAGACGTTTGCACGGCATCGTGGGAGAGTAGGCCAACGACCCCTTTACAAAAAGGTGGTTAAATTTCGATTTAAAGCTTTCGTGACTGCAGGGATTCATCTTCTTGGTTCTTTCGGTAAAGTCACGTAGAATGGAAATAATAAAATAATAAAAATAAAACATAATAAAATAATTCTCACGACGTTTCGGCCACAACGCAAGCAGCCGTCCTCAGGTAGAGAGCAGGTCTGTTTAATTTTTATTATTTTATTATTTCCATTCTACGTGACTTTACCGAAAAAACCAAGAAGAAAAAGGTGGTTCTCTAGAGCTCCTTCGAGTGGTGGGAGCCCTCTATCCGCCAGCAGTGACGTGAGCAAGTAATTGCAGGGCTGCGCCTCTAACCTTTATATAACCGTGCCTCCATGCATCGCGTGCATTTAAATGACGCGCTTCGCCGTCTCATTGAGGCTTAACAAGAGACACACGACAGGACAGACCCCAACCACGGATCATGTAATCATACAAGTGACAGGCATCATGCACGCACACAGCGGCACGAGCCACATCCACGACAGCTCCCGTCTGTCGCATCCACGCACTCCCGGGACATCGTCGCCTTACCTGGGGGAACGGCGAGGATGTGAGTGATGCTGGGTGACGATGGGCGTGAGAAGAGGTGGCAGACAGCCAGCAGAAGTGGTGAAGGGGTGGAGGGCGTTGGAAGAGGTTGCCATCGCTGCCCGCGCTTCCGTCCGCAGAGGCGAGGTGATGGTGGTCGTGATGTTATGATGATGATGCAAGTGATGGTGGTGATTCTGGTGTGATGCTGCAGCGAAGATGAAGGTTGTGATGTAATCATGCGGTGGTGCTGCTGACCGTGATACGATGATGATGCAACGAAGATGAAGGCGGTGACGTAATGATGCGGTGAGTGATGGTTGGGGGGGGGTTGGTGGTCGTGGTGATGGTGATAATGCTGGTGAGGCTGGCGATGCTGGTGATGCTGATGAGCTCACCCTCGCTTGTGATTGGATCCGCTATGCCTCTGACTTCGCTGCAGTGGGAGGAGACGGGAATATTGTGTGGGCTGGGCAATAAACCAACCAATCACGATCCAGTGTCTGCCTCACCAGAGAATCCTCGCCAGATGAGCCGCCCGATCGCTCACCGTATTTGCCGGATTATAAGACGCGCCCCAGATTGGTACCCGGTGCCAATGACGTTACGAAAATGTGGTCTAACACACACACACACACGTGTCCGATTATAATACGCACCCCTATATTTTTGGGGGGGGTTTGAAATACGGTGGATTAGGGGTGGGGGGGGCTGCGTCTTATAATCCGGCGAATACGGGAGTCCTATTTACCCCGCGTAGGACGAGGGTTACTGGGGTCGCAGCGATATGTCGAGACTACGATATATGGCATATTAGCCGCGGTAATCGTTTCGTGCGTTTTTGTTCTTATCGTCATATCGTGCTGATCATTAACGCATGGCTGCTCGGTTTAACTTTTGCTGCTTAATTATTTTAATTTGCTCCAAAAAGAACATTTACGTTCACAAAACTATATATATATGGCATAGCAAATGCCATGACCGCACTGGCAACTGAATGGCTATCATCATTTAAATTCGTGATTTGCGAAACTAGTTTTTTTAGACATGATTCTCGGATTCATATTCTTGGTTCTTTCGGTAAAGTCACGTAGAAGGGAAATAATAAAATAATATTAATATAAAACAATACAAATTATCACGACGTTTCGACTGCAACACAAGCAATCATCATCAGGTGTGAAATCCACGGCAAGAAAATTCAGGTGTGAAAATTCAGGTGTGAAATCCACAGCAAGAAAATTTTCTTGCTGTGGATTTCACACCTGATGATGATAGCTTGTGTTGCAGTTGTAACGTCGTAATAATTTGTATTGTTTTATATTTATATTTATATTATTTTATTATCTCCCTTCTACGTGAATTTACCGAAAGAACCAAGAATATGAATCCCTGCAGTCACGAAAGCTATAAATAAATAAAAATTATTCTCGAAGTTTATGTTTGTTTCCGTTGAACAAAGGACATGCGTGCAGACCCATGTCAGTATCAAGAATCGGAATCTGTATTTATCCTGAAGGAATCCGATGAGCTATGAAGCTCTTTTTCACAGATGTCCACAAAGGGCGCGTCAGAGCGTCATAACAAGCAATATTAAAACACAATAGCAGTGCAAAATCTAGGAAAGGTCAGCAAAATAACTTTTTTTTAAATGTACAAATAAAACGAAACTATTTTCTATCTCATAAAGTAAACTCCACTGAGCCTCCTGGTTACACCAGTTCACAGGGGATTATTGTGTCCGTCGTGCAGGGAGGGGCTGGGTGGGGAGGGAGGGGCTGGGTGGGGAGGGGAAGGTGGGGAGGGGCTGGGTGGGGAGGGTGGGCCTGGGTGGGGAGGGGAGGGTGGGGAGGGGCTGAGTGGGGAGGGTGTGGAGGGGCTGGGTGGGGAAGGTGGGGAGGGGCTGGGTGGGGAGGGTGGGGCTGGGTGGGGGGAGGGAGGGGTGGGGCTGGGTGGGGAGGGGCTGGTCACCCCGTGGTGCCCTCATAAAACTCAACTTTAACCTACTCACGCCGGCTTGTGCCCGCCCTCACAGAGTCACAGTCGGCCATATTTGCGGAATACACCACGCCGCTGTTGACCCTGACCATTGACCGAGCAACCCAACGTTCCTACCAGCTCCCTCCGCAGGAATGTGTTCTTTCATAAGCGACCTGGCCACAAATGACAGCTCAACAAAGTGGCTTATCACATGGAAATTTCCATCAGCAAAATAATCTAAATAAAGTCGCGGGTAATTGCAGTTGAAGAATGTTTAAACAACCCGTATTTATCTTCTTGGTTCTTTCGGTATACCAAACTCAACAATCAAAGCGTCTGCTTGTTTGTTTGATAATCGACATTCTGGTTTGAGTTCGGAGTTGCGTGTAACATACATGCCAACCCCTTATCAGCGCCTACCTTATTACAGACCAGTTCAGACCTTATTGATCACCCCGTGCTCTTATAAATCTCAACGTTCATCCTACACAGTGCCATCACAAGGGAGAAACACAAACAAATAGACAAATTATTAGTTTTTTTGCTCATATTGAAACTTCTGTACGCCTGCATTTCCATGCACAAGAATACGGGTAAACCGTATGGGTTGACAGGTATGATGTACAAATCCGATCTCAGACTCACGCCTACCGGATTACCTGTGCCTTATAAAACGTTGCAGGGGGAAAGTGGGGATTATAATCCGGAGAGCACGGTGTTTTAATTGGGTCTGCCTACAGCTCACTCGGTGGAGAAACAGCGCCCCAACACGTGGCAATACGAGTTCACATCCCAGCTTAGGTCTTCCCAAAGGCATCAGCAGCACTGTAATCAGCAGCAGTAGGTAGCATCGTTGCCATCAACGTCACTATCATTGGGGTTCCCCCGGGTGGCCCCCGGTTTCCTCCCCACACGTAAAAAAACACTCGCGAATTGGCTGAGAGCATGTTAAAAATAGAGGACCGCAGAGCTTGGGAAATGGTTGGTAACGTCGGCTCATCAACGCTCGGTTTACTGCCTTCCATCGTTGCGATTCATCTGTAATTGTGGTGAAAGATGCAGATACGGCATATATAAAACGACCCTGTTTTTTTGCATATTATGAACTCGTCATCATTGCAGGTCAATAAGGGGGGGGGGGGGGGGTAACAATCATCGATGTATCAACTTTAGTGAAATTTAATCAGCCGGTTCCACATCTGATAGATTAGTTGATCGGCTTCGTCGCATGCAACTTAATCGCTTATTACGTGGACCTTTCTTTCCCCGGTCGCGAGCGGTTGCACATTCCGGTTTCTCACGGTCGATAATTATGGACTCGACTTTCAAGCCATCCTCGCAGAGATTCGTAGCGACGTATTCCATTCATCACGTGCTGCACATTAGCCAACAACTACGTACTTGGTCGTTACGATCCTGAATGCGCTGCTCAACTGGCTCGCTCAGATGCGGACAAAGCAGTCCCGGGCGATTTAAGCTGCGCGAATTTCGAGAGAGATTTTTTTTCCACGCGCAACTTGTCGCTAAAGGTTTGGCTTCAAGGTCACGGATACATCCATCGTGGAGGGTTTGGGGTGAGATCGCGTGAATATAAATGCGTCGTTAAACCCGCCACCACCCGACACAGCCAATTCGTTACGTGTACAGCAACACCGGTGTGTTGGAGAGTAATCACACGACATTTACAATTCGAGTACGACGTTTCGCCGGTAATTACAACTAGCATCATCAGGCGACAGTCCGATTTGTGGAGACATCGCGGCTTGCAGCCGCTAGAGGCCGCTATATTCCCCACAATGAAACGAGGACCCTGATTCGCGACAATGTGTCAAGGAAGGGAAGTAAACTCATCGCCTGCTCATAATCATCATCTTCGATTCCACACCCATCTATCGTCACCGTCAACCTTACAACGTTGGTACGAGTGGGACCACATTGCGATGCTGAGTTATTTGTTGGCAAGTCAGCAGTCGCTTTTTTTTTGTATCCCCAGCAATACGAGGACGTTCATAGTCTCGCGCACGTCACCAAACGAATCGAGGTGTATACAGAGGCGCAGCCCTGCAATGCCTCGCTCACGCCACTGCTGGCGATGGGCCGTACACTCGAGAGCGTTCCAGAGAGCCCGCCCAGAGTGGGGGATCATTTGACCGCATCTTCCACACTGAGCCTACCGTCTTGAAAGAGGTGAGAGTATCCACACTTCTTTACCCCCAACACTTGCGAACTGCGTGCAGATCGACTCACTTTGATGTTGCTCATTTATGAAATGCGGTGTTTTTTTTCTGGAAGACTTTGCTGTTTTTTTCCAGGATTTTTTCTGTTGCGCGTAGTCACTTTAAGATGTTTCTTGTTCGTGTTCTTGTTTGTGTTGCGGTTGCACCCGAGTCAAGAGCCGCATGGCTCACAGGGTTATCTCCATCTCCATATATCTATAAAAGGCAAAGTTATGATCATGTGTGTCTGTTCAAAATGTTTAGCGTACTTCCTTGACATGCAACAAACTTGAAATTTGACATGTGGGTACTTTCCAGACTGTACACCATGCAAAAATTATACCTAAAAAATGAAACTGAAAACTGAAAATGTATGCTGATGGGTGGACAAAGACGTGGCGGAGGGGGGGGGTGGTGCGTGCGAGATCGAGGGGTGGATTTTAGAAACTTGCAAATGTAATTCAACTGCCGCGCCGAGAGATAATAAACTCATCGAGTCGAACTTACACACCTGTGAACTGCAGGTCCGCTGCGCTCACCATTGCACCGCGGCAGCCATCCCAAATCCGTGGGATACGCGGTCTTCTCGAGTAGACTGTCGGCTAAATGGTCCAGCAGCACCATCTGCGCGCATTGATATCGTGCGTGTAAGCGGGGATTGGGCGAAATTGCTACCAGATGAGATTTCGGCGCAATTCGTGCTGAGCGCGCAGCGTCGCGCCATCAATTTAAACCCTCGGCAGTGTTTGTGCAACAAATGTGACGCAGCTCCGGCAATTTACTAAACGCCGGCTCCTCTGCGTGAGCCGTGAGCTGCGTAATCCCTTTAGAAAGTGTTCCCATATTTATTTTTTTGTAAATAAAATGAACACATTCAAACCAGGGGGAGGGAGGGTAAAAAAACACCCGTGCATATGCACGCACATCTCTTAACGTTTTTTTTTTTGCAACGTGGCGTTAGTCTTCTGAAGTTTGTTCAATGGACGAGTATTGTAGTGCACACGGGAAACTTGTTTTTGTTTAACCCGCGACACACAGCACTGGAAGGGGGAGGAGCAGAGTTAAGGAAATAATTCACGGAGAAAGATAAACGAACGGGAGAAGGAATAGAGAGAAGCATGGAGTTTGAGAGGGTGAGGAAGTATGGAAAAGGAACGGAGAAACGGGAGCAAAGGGTCAGGAGAGATGAGGATGGGGAGGAAGAGGCTGCATCAGGTCCTCGACGCTGCTGCTGCTGCACGTCTGTTTTCACAGGGGGCGGTAACGGGGGGGGGGGGGGGGGGTTCAGAGTGGGGGGGGGCACACACAAGTCACGTGATATACGGGAGGCTTGACCTGATTTCGATATAGAGATGAGACATGGATCTGAAGCGTGGGTAAATCAAAATGTAAAGTGTTGGAGGTGGTGGGGCGATGAACAAATTGAAAATGTGTTCACAGGAGGATACGAGGTGAACACAATCAGATAAATGACATCTTTAAAACTCAAGAAAAAGTCAGTGGGCTTGCTCAGGACACGCCGCTGCGATGGATGATGGCTTGTGGCCAAGGATAATGACGGAGCTGGCAGCAAAGGTAGAGAGAGAGGAAACGCATTCGGGAAGACGACGTCCACCGTGGAGATGGAGCGAAATAAAGCCACTCGAGTGCAGGCCCCGTGTGGATTGTTACATCACAGGATCGTGAATAATGGGGGTAGGGGGGGGCTTTGTGATACCTTTATCCAGCAGTGGATTGGCCGTGACTCAATAATCACGATGTTACTTCTCGCCACGACGTGTATGTTGAGCACCGTACCGCAGGGGAAGGACAACAAACTCCTAGACGTTATGCGTCAAAGTGGAAAGTGTATTACCTAGATAGGACTTACAGCGACGAAACAATGCGTTGCCTGTAAATATAGGGTGAGCAGACATGTTCTAAAGTGGGTTGTTACGAACAGTATAACGTATAGTTCTAGTGTTATCTCTTCTTCTTCTTGCTTCTTTCGGTAAAGTCACGTAGAAGGGAAATAATGAAATATTAAAAAGAAAACATAATAAAATAAAATTATCACGACGTTTCGGCCACAACACAAGCAGCCGTCCTGTGTGTTGCGTCGTGAGAATTTTTATTTTATTATGTTTTGTTTTTATTATTTTATTATTTCCCTTCTACGTGAGTTTACCGAAAGAACCAAGAATATGAATCCCTGCAGTCACGAAAGCTTTAAATCGAAATTTGTCTCCTCTTGTTTATGTGTTTTCCCAGGGCACTCCTGGTCTGGTATCATACTCTAAGTACCTACATTCAAATGAAATGGATCTGCCATTCAAGAAGAGTGATCTTGCCAATAGCACGTGGTAGACCTCCAGCGTTCATTTTTATGAGCCTGGCTGTTGGTAGAGTTATAATAACCGACACGTTACAAAAGAACAACGTATCCATCACATCGTGGCTTCAATGGGAAACCATATATACATACATACCTGTCATCCCATACATTTTACTCGTATTCTTGTACAGGGAAATTGAGTTTTCAGGGCCATACGGTGTACAGCCGTTTCAATACGGGAATTTTTTTATATATTTGTTTGTGTTTCTCTCCCTTGTGATGGGACTCTATAGGATGAACGTTGAGAAATTTTAAGGGCGCGGGGTGACCAATGAGGTTTGAATTGGTCTGTAATAAGGTAGGGCACTGATTAGGGGTTGACAGATAGATATATAATTTTGACTTAAAACTTTCGTGACTGCAGGAATTCATATGCTTGTTTCTTTCGGTAAAGTCACGTAGATAGAAAAACAATTATATATACAATAAAATAAAAAAATGATCGTGTGTGTGAGTCGATTTGTGTGTGTGTGTGCGTGTAAGTCCATGTGTTTCTATGTGTGTAGGTAGATGTATTTGTGTAAGTCCATGTGTGTGTCTGCCTTTTTCGCCCGGGCAACGATGGGTACTTACCGCTAGTATAAAATAACATTTTAAAATGATTTTCTATCTATACGTGACTTTACCAAAATAACCCAGAATATAGATACATATAAAATGGGTGACGTTTCGACCAATGACCCCTATGTGCTATGAAGGGTCATTACCCCCCAAGATAACAGAGCCATTGCCTGCCACGTTGCCCATGATGTTTCCCTGAGTGTTGAGTGGTTTGTTATTTACGTTTGTGTACCTTTGCCAACGCAGCAGCATCGCTAAACTATTTAATTACTTTTTGATGACACAATCGACACGATGAGATTAAGCTCTATAAATGATCAGTCGTTACACGATTGTTGTTTTATATCAAACTGGACGTTGATGTAACGTATTAAATGATTATACTCGACGTACAACGAATGTGATGGGTGGACAAATGTATAGAGCAACCCACACGGACACTCGCCCCAAAAGTCCTATAGACTTTGGGGGCACGTGCTGTTAGCGAGCCCCTATTGAAGTGGCTAGGATGGCGCGTGAGAGGGGAGAGGGTTAGTGCAGCACCACGCCGGGCCACCATTGTCTCCCCAATACTTTAAACGTCTACACACCGCACCAGATTACTCGTTTCAGGCTCAGTCAACCTGGTTACACACTCTAACACACATACATACAGACACGTGCGTTACGCATACTCTCCACTCTTTCCTTCCCCACGCCCTGTCTGTTCGGGTGAATCCCGGGGGTTTCACTGCTATCTCCTCCTCCCACCATCACCATCACCGCTATGCATTACCCCCCCCCCCCGCCACCCCCCCCCCCCCCCACCACGCTCACGACGCACCAATGGAATTGCCGGCAGCAAGCACCGCGCTCCAACATTCGTAGCAGCAGCAGTTTGCTGCTGACGATGATGCGAGGAGTGGGGCAGGCGTTATAACGCAGAGCGAAAGCGCTGCCTTGGGGACCCAGGACGCACACGAAGCTCCGGAGAGAGATACGCACACAGAGAGTGTGGGAGCGTGCAGGCGACAGATCGCGACGGAGGGAGCGAGAGAGCATGTGGAGAGAGGGAGACGGAGAGAGTTAAAGAGAGAGCTAGGGAACGGCGGGGCGGGGGGGCTACAGAGAGAGAGAGCGCTCCAGAGGGAGCGTCACAGAGCGACAGCTAACAGAGAGAGAGAGCGGAGGAGAGGGGAGCGCAAGGATTCGACCAAGGCAGAGCGAGACAGAGAGACGACACGGGCCGGTGGACGAGGGGGTGGGAGGTAGAAACAGAAGAGGAGGAGGAACACGAGAGTCTGAAGACAGCTAGAACGAGTTGCAGACATAAGGACAGGGATAGAGATCTCTAAAGTTTGTCCAGAGACAAGTTAACGAGCAGTTTTTAAGTCACGCGCGGAACTAGAAACGTTGACGAACGTCAGTCGCCCTTGGCGCTTAGGCGAGTTAGCGAGCGCCTATTGCGGTAACCGTATACCTCGAGACACAAGACACGGGCCGCGAGGCACACAGACAGACGCAAACCTCGAGACAGCGACATCTCGAGACGCATACGCACAGACAACGCACACACCTCGAGACAGACAATCACATCTTGAGACACGGACACAGATTTTGAGACAAACACACACGGACAAAACATATCTCAAGAGGCAGACACAGATCTCAGACACAGACACCTCGAGAAAGACACACCGATCTCGAGACACAGACACACACACACACCGAGGCAGAGACGCACACACACAGAATCCTCGGTGGAGGTGTGTGTGTGCTGGGTGGGTGTGTGTGTGCGCTGGTGGGTGCGTGGGTGGGAGGGGTGGGTGGGCGCACTCGAAACACTTCGCCAAACACCGCATCCACCGCGACAACAGCCAAGCCAAACCAACGAGCGAGCATGGCCCAGCCGAGCGTCGTCTACGACCTGCTCCTCACCACGCTGCGCGTCCTCGCCTCAATGGGCGCAGCGTGCTGGCGCTGGGTACGACCGCCGCGCGCCAAGAGCGTGGCGGGCGAGGTGTGCCTCGTGACGGGCGCCGGCGGGGGCCTCGGCCGCCTCTTCGCCCTCGAGCTGGCGTCTCGAGGCGCCACCCTGGTGCTGTGGGACGTGGACGAAGCCCGCAACGAGGCGACCGCGCGCCGGGTGCGCGCGGCCGGGGCGCGCGCGCACACCTACACGTGCGATGTGAGCGCACGGCACAGCGTGTACGCGGCGGCGGAGAGGGTCCGCGCCGAGGTGGGCGACGTGACGGTGCTCGTGAACAACGCCGGCGTGGTGTCGGGAAGGCCCCTTCTCGAGTGCCCCGACGAGCTGCTCGAGAGGACCATGGCCGTGAATTGCCACGCGCTCTTCTGGGTGAGTTTTGTTTGCTCTGGGACGGGGTTTGATGGGCTTGCGCGGGCTGGGCTTGGGTTCGGATGGGATAGGCTGGTTTAGGGTGGGATAGGCTGGGTTATGATGGGCTAGACTGGTTTAGGATGGGATAGGCTGGGTTAGGATAGGCTAGGATGGGCTAGGATAAGTTAGGATAGGATGGGATAGGCTGTGTTATGATGGGCTAGACTGGTGTAGGATGGGCTAGAGTGGGCAAGTAAGGGATTAGCTGGGATGCGTTAGCATGGGCTAGGAGAGCTGGGTGGGCTAGGATGGGCAAGGCTGGTTCATGGCTGGGTGTCTTCAATAAAAAAAATATAAATCTGTAAATTATCAGAATACCTATCGTGACGTGAAAAGTTAAGTACAGGATATTATGTTGGTGGTTTTACTGCTACTGCATTGGCACAAGCACAATTAATCCCACTGTATTCGAAAAAAGTTTGACTGGCCAGCTGGATTGAGAAAGGGATAGAGCGGACGGACACGTTCAAATTATGTGTGGGCTGCTAGCAGTCACAAACACTCGACGCATTCGAAACTAACACCGCCTTAAATAAACAAATATATAACAGGTGACGCTCCGGGTAATGCCCCTTTATGTGCTATGAAGAAGAGCCATTGCCCGAAACATCCCCTATTACATATGTTTTCTTTGAAGGACACAGTGCTGTTAACAAATGTTTTGTGTTCTTCTTTCAACCACTGTTGGGGTGTGTGTTAGCTTCTCTGCTTTCTGTTCTCACTCTGGTCCCAGTGGGTTTACGGCGATCTTTAGTGTCCAGTTTCATCGCTCTCCTCTTGTACCATCAGACAGCGGCGTTTCTGTTTAATTTTGCACCCAACTTTCAGTGCACTTATTCATTGTAATTCTCGTTGTCTGACTGTTTGTAGTGATTCACATCTCGTTCATCAGATTGCTTTTCTAGAGGCTTGATGCTTGGAATCAGTAGATATTGTTTTGTGTTTAGTTTATTGTCCTTCCCCCGCACCTCCGATTAGCACCGTTGGTTACGAACGGTGCAAAATAAGTTCCAACGTACATTCTCCTGCCTCCAGATCTAGATTTGTATTAAATCATACCCTTCTTGTTTTGACCTGTTAATAGTTGATACCCTCTCTTTCTTTTGCAATGTTTGCTCCGTAACTAGCATCTCAGCGAATTGCACGATCATCTGCTGTGTCAAAGTCACAGAGGACGTAAATCATTCGTCACATATTGGCGTTTCGTGCGTGAGATTAACGCGACTTCAATTAATTTAAAAAAATCCCCCCCTTTGGCCTCCGCCGCTTCCAATTTTCGAAACAAATTTTTACAAAAAAAAACTGGTTCCATTATCTCCGCGCGTCCTGGTGGCTGTGGAGTTCTCTCCTCATCAATCCTCTCACAGATGCAACAGATTCATCAACCGATCCTCTCATCTCTGTTCCTCTCGCCGACCTTTGCTTTGAAGTCCGTTACTGTGGTGGTGGTGGTAGTGCATGTCTGGCGCAAAGCGAGGTTGCTGGGGCGTGCCCTTGTACCACCAAATGTCCCTTGGGTACTGCCTAAGAGACAGCACCACCCAAGTTCACCCTTCTGAGAGGGATGAAAGTGAACAGTGCCACCAATGAGTGTCACCCCACGGAGATGAGCCGGAGAAAGGCCTGCGTTGTTTGCTCTCGTTTAGAAGTTGGGTCATCTCTTCATACATTGGGATACGTTTGCATCGTCGTGGTTTCTTGTTTTTTATTGGGGGGGATATATCTAAATTACCTTTAACTTGTAGTGTATTTAGGGTCTTAATGTGTGTTTGAAAAACTTTGCTCGTGTGTGTGTGTAATTATATTGTTGTGTACGTGTGTGTGTGAATGGGTGTGTATTTTTTTGTATGGAAAGCAGTAGTGTAGCGGTTAGCGCGCTGCGCTACGAACCCGTCTACCCGAGCTCGGTTCCCGCTCACGGCCAACACCCAGTGACGATTATCAGAACCGGTCCTGGGCCTCCCCTAGGTCGACTCAGCCTTAAATTAGTACCTGGCGCGGTGTGTAAAAAATATACTGGGTAGACAGACCCGATCGAGCATGGGTGCCTGGCCACCCACACCCCCTCGCCCTCTGTACCGGCCTTAATAGGCGCTCGCTGAGCAGCATTTGCCACCCAAATAAAACCCACGTGCTCCTGACACGAGCCCTGGTCTCCACCGGTGTGAATGTGGAATTTCACCCACTGGCTCCGCGCCACCAACGGAGACGAGTACCGGCCAAACGCAGGAGAACGCCGCTGCTTGCGTGTGGCGTCGTGTTACGCTCAAACAATTAGGATTATGTAACCCTATAGCGTGTATTAAGGCGATTGCCGTGACCTTTAGAAAGGAGAGGGAGTGGAAGACGTTTAGTCCCCGGCCTCGTCGGCTCGCTGAGCCGCCGTATAATGACAACGATTTGCGGAGGAGGGAAGAGACGGCGGGTTACTGGGGGATTATACACGCCGCGAATTGGAACCGACTCAAACAAGAGGGGACTTTCGGTTTAGCACGTAGGCTTTCGCGACCAATATTATTCATAATCAACGTTTTTGGGTTAAACATTTGTGAATGTTGTGGATTCACTCTTCAACACACCGGTGGGCTAAAGTAGTGAACTTTTTGTCTTTTGTCAACGTGACACTTTTTACTGATTGGCCGTGTCGGGTGGTGTAGGGTTACGACACATTTATAAATAACGCGATCTAACCCAAAAACTTTATTATGGAGAGGGGACTTTCCCGACGGACATACCCGCAGCTAAACTCGGTTCGCTATATTCACAGCACTTGATCACTCTCACAATTTTTCGAGAATTATCCCATTCCCACACTCCCGAGATTCAACCTCGACGCCGTTCGTGCATCGCTGAATATGAACGCGTCTTCATCGTCGTCAGCCATGGTCGATCCACTGCTGGATGAGGGCCTGCGATGTTAACAATCCACCTCTATCGCCTGTATGCGAAGCTGATTTCATCGCTCCATCTCCTCGATGCGCGTTCCATTCCTTGGCTGCTGCTCCGGGGATTATCCTTGATGCAATCGACCATCTTCTCTTGCTACCCATCCTGCCCCAGTTGAACATTGTGTAACATCGCAGTTCGGTTTCACACGTCCCCGATTAGCACGGTCGGCTACGTGCGGTGCGAAAGAAGTTCAACACACAGTCCGTAATTCTAGATTTGAAGCTTTCGTGACTGCAAGGATTCATATTCTTAGGTTTTTTTCGGTAAAGTCACCTACGTCACCTACGTGACTTTACCGAAAAAAACCTAAGAACACAGTCCGTAGGCTTTCGCGACCGATATTACTCGCTATAATGTTTTTGTGGGTCAGGTCGCGTAAGTGTAAATGTGCCGCAATTCTCAACTCCACCCCGACGCAGAGAATCAGTTTGTCACGTGCAACAAAACGTGCCAATTAGTGACAACTTCAGCATCACCGGTTGTGTGTTCGAGAACAAACCCACAAGAATATTTACAAGTTGAGTTGATGGCGTTTCGCTGGTGATTGCTACAACCAGCATCATCAGGCGATAGCCAAAACTGCTTTGCTGCGAATAATTCGTCTGTATACAGTACAGTACTTTGCAGCATGCAAGTCTGTCATTTGATCTCAAAGAGTTTCTTCGCTTGGATTTCTGAGAATCCATTAGCTTGATAAGCAAATAAGCCGCCTTGGTGTGGTTTTATGAAAATCCACACCTGCCGATATTATTCTTGTTGTTGGCGAGATTACTAAAGAACAGGAGCAGCAGATGAGAAGGAGGAACTGGTGATTGGAGGTGTGGGCAGGCGGGGTGGGGGGCATTTTAGATTGCTAATAACAGACCAGTAACTTCAATAATTTCAATATAAACACAGAGACATTTACACACACATGGGTTTCTCGAACTCACTCCGCTCATTCACACGCATACACACACAGAGACAAAGATCACCCTTGTGGCCTGCACGGGCTGTTGGAGCAAATGCTATCAACTAGAGCCTTTTGGGACCATCACGGCACCACGCCCGACTGCCTTTGTCTCTCTCGTGCCGATGTACACACCACACCAGGCACGCGTGTAAAAGACTGCGTTAACACAGGGGAGGCTCAGGACGAGCTCAGACACATGTTTGTCACTGATGTTGACAGTGAGCGGGAATAGAACTCGGGTCGTCAGGTTCGTAGCGCAGCGCGCTTACTGCCATCCTACCAAATACAAAGGCAAAGATGAGCCGTATAGCCTGAACAGACTGTTGGGGCAAGTGCTGTTAGCGAGCACCACCTATGAAGGCCGGCACGGTACACGATGGGATGGGTGGCCAGCACCACGCTCGGCGGCCTTTGTCTCCCTCGCGACGATTTTCACACACCGCACCAAGTACTCATTTGAGGCTTAGTTGACCTAGGGGAGGCCCAGGACTGGTTTAGATACTCGTCACTGGTGTTGGCCGTGAGCGAGAATCGAACCCGGGTCGCCAAGTTCGTAGCGCGCTAACTCAAAGACAAACAAATACAAAGATCCCCAGTGTAGTCTTAACAGACTTTTGGGACAAGTGCTATTAGCAAGTAGCACCTATGAAGGTGTGAGAGCATGTGTGTTGAGATTGTGTACGGTAGTGCATGTGTGAGATTGTGTTCGAGTGTGAGAGAAGAGTGTGAGTGTATGTGAAAGGATTTCTCTTTGTTTTATTTTCACACTCACAGACATCCTCTCACATACATACACTCACACTTGCCTCCCTCACACACACACACTCTCAGAGGCAAAGATCCCCCATATAGCCATTACCAGACTGTTGGGGCAAGTGCTGTTAGCGAGCACCACCTATGAAGACCGGCATGGCACACGAGGGGGTGGGTGGCCAGCACCACGCTCGGCCGCTTTTGTCTCCCCAGTGGCGATGTTTAACTGCACACCGCACCAGGTACTGTTTTAAGGCTGAGTCGACCTAGGGGAGTCCCAGGACCGGTTCAGATAATCGTCACC